CACATTTTAGGATGGAGTTCCCTGCTATCTCACTTAGCATTTATCTAATGCTCCCAGCAAGTGCTCCTTAGATTGGACTTTTTTCCATTTTTTTCTTTTTTTTGGCTAACTAATCATTATAAATAATACATTTAGAATATAAGATAATTATCTATGTTTTTTTTAATATTATCAATTAATTTAAGTAATTATTTATTTATTAATTAATGTTATATTATTAATTAATTATAATTAATATAGTTAAACTAAACTAATTTGTTATGACAGTACATGTTCATCACTACCATTCTGTAGTCGTAGGTTTACTAGGGTTGCTTTTCCTCCGGTTGTGCGGTTCTATTCGACTTCGCCTGCTTCGCGTGGGCAAATTATTGCATCGGGTCACCGAACAGAGAGGATCCGTTCCAGTGCTACAGTGACCTGCGCTTTACTGTAGACAGAGAGGACCGAACGTGTTCGGTGACCTGATGCAATAATTTGCCCTTCACGTGAGAGGTAGTGTTGAACTAGTCGCTAAATAACTTCTTCACCTCCGTCGACGACGTTCCTTACCGCCGTATCCGAAGTCACACCACCTCGACGTTCTTTTGTTGGATCGGAAGAAACAAAGACGACGGAAGCTTTCTCGATGCGAAGGTGGCGATCTTTCTTCCTTTCGGGTGCTTCTTCGGCCAGATCTCGTAAACACTTCTTCGGCCAAATCTCCTAAATACGCCGAACTCTCATATTTAGGAGCAATTATTAGGTAAGGTCACCGCACGAGTCGAGATACTAATTATCACGCGCCACTGGAATTTGGTATTGCCAGGTATACGTCCGGATTTCTGATTTTTTGTTAGGACAGAATAATTACTCCGGATTTATGGGCTGTTTGGAAACAAGTGAGTTTTAGTAAATCCTGTAAATCCTAAAATGTGTTAAATTATAAAACTGTTTGGTATGTCAAATGATAAATTCTGTTAAATCTTTATAAATTGTTTGGTAACATATATCAGGATTTATGACAATTATGATTTAAATTTAAAGAAGATATTTATGAAATCAAGATCATTGCATAAAATATAATAAAATTAACTTAAGTTCATACAATATTATCAAAAATTCAATAAAAAACAAATGACAATTTAATATTGACCAAAATGACATATGAACTATTAAAAAATATAATACTTTAAATTTATAGTTTACTTCATATATATTTATTGGGAGATAATTTTTTTACGGCGATCAATTTATTTGACTTGCAATCTGAAATAAAGTACATGTTATATACAAGTTACTTAATAATTATTATTTACACTATCAGTTATATATTTAATAATATATATTTAAGTTATATTAATTAAACTAATTATTGTTGTGTCCTAGAATATTCACGGCGGAAGAGAAATATGAAGTTTAGCACCTTAGCGTTGTACGAATATATAGCACACAATCATATAAGAGAGAGGGTGTAGCATTTATAAGAGACACTAGAGTTTTTACGTGGAAACCCTTAAAAAGGGGGAAAAACACGGGACCTGACCCAGTGATTAGTATTTGTAGTCGATTACGAATGAGGCACTTTCTTGGGAGAAGGCATTGACTTAATGTTATAAATGTACATCATATAGAACACATTACACAGGGGCGGAGCTAGAAATTTTTTTTAATGAGGGCACAAATTAATGATTTTAAAATTACTCTCGATCTGTTTATAAGTAAAATAGTTAGAAAAAAAAAATTATACACTGAATTTTTTTAAAAAAACTGAACTACTCCCCAAAGTTCATTTTCTACTGCTTCTCCCACCCTTCAATCGATTATATTTGATATGTGCATTTTATCGCCCTCAATTCATGGATATGTGCATTTTATCGCCCTCAATTCATGCTACTTATAGCATTAAAATCAACTCTTTAAAGCACCCCATAATTTCCCATTTACTAATAATTAATAATAAAATTCAAGTGATTATACAAAAATATAATTATTTACCAATTTTATTGATGTTTGAAGTTATAGGTCTATAGTTCTCCTTGTCTTCTCTAATTTATATATTTGAACAATTAAAATTAATAATATTGATTTTGTTAATATATATATATATATAGTCTTAGCTTTTAACATTAGTAAAAGTCCTGAAGTAAGATGGCTTGGACGGTGTAGATGAGCTCAGCTGAAAGGTGACAGTGAAGGACCTCGAGCAGAGAACTTCAATCATGAGTGTGAATTGTTTTGTTGTAGAAGGTGCAGTAGATGGAGCTAGGCGCGCATTCAAAGGCTCATGATGATCTAACTTATCTTAAAATATTCATATATGGTATATTCCCTTTTCCTCAAAACACTCCACTTATTCTTCCTACTAGCCTTCTTCCACATCTTCTCCATCGCCATCCTACTCTGCTCACACTGCGAAGCTGATCTCGGTACCGGCCTCCATCATATGCAGCTGACGCTGCTGGTCGGGAAGTCGAACCCAATATCACTGATAGCCTTCACTGCATGTCCAAACTCGTTCAGATGATTGCTATTTGTGTGGCTCTCATTTAATTTCTGGCGGGCCAGTGGGGGCACATGCCCCCAGTGCCCCCACCGTGGCTCCGCCCCTGATATTACATGGTGAGAGTTACAATAATCAACATAGACATGTTTATTTGATCGACAGGACCATAATTGATAGGATAGAGGTCAGAAATATCATAGTAGGCAGAAGACTAGGGTAAAAAAGAGTGTTGTCTGGTGATGTAGGTCGGAAGGATCGTAGTAGGCGACGGAGGTTGTAATGACCATAGTTGACAAGAGACGGGAACTTGAAAGACCGTAGTATGCGATGGAGGTTGGAAGGATCATAGTAGGCGAGAGAGGTCGAAATGACCGTAGTGGCAAGAGATAAGGGTCTGAAAGATCGTAGTTGGCAGGAGTCCAAGGTCAGAAAGATCGTTGTCTTGTGATGTAGGTCGGAAGGATCATAGTATGCGATGAAGGTCGGAAGGAGATAGGGGTCTGAAAGATCGTAGTTGTAGGATGGTACTCCGGTAGAACTTTGGGCATCAGGGGGTGGCCCCGTAGAAGCCGGGCCTCAGGGGTGGTATGGTAGAAGTACAAGCCTTATGTGGTAGTCCGGTAGAAGTTTGGGCATTAGGTGATGGTTTGATAGAGCTCTGTGCTTCATGTGGTGGTCCGGCAGAAGTACGGGCCTCAGGTGGCGGTCTCGCTGAAGTCCGAGCCTCAGGTGGTGATATGGCAGAACTCTGGGGACAAGTGGTGGTAGAACGGAGCTCAGGGCCTCAACTGATGGCCTGGTGGAGCTTAGGGCCTCAAGTAGTGGTCGGATAGAAACTCCTGGCGTCAAGTGGTGGTTCGACAGAGTTTAGGGTCACAAGTGGTGGTCCGAAGGAGCTCATGGCCTCAAGTGGTGGTCCGGCGGAACTCCGGGCGGTGGTCGAGGAGGAGCGAGGAGGCAAGAGCGATCTTCGATCTCTCTCTTGCTCTATTGCGTGGAGCCTCCCTTTCAAGAGGGAGGAGAGGTCTATTTAAAGATTTCCTAAAGTGGCATGACCCGTAAATAAAAGAAGGATCAATGGCAAATGAATAGTGTTTGGATGGACGACCGATGTTGAACCCCTTGATCATGTACCGTTTCATGGATATTTGAATGTCTTAGTGATGTCGGAATTTAGTAATCTTGGGCTTGTTAGATTCGTCTAGTCGAGCAGCTCTATTTGATTATGAGCATGTCAAGTTTGAAAACCGTTTGTTAATCCAAATTATGATTCGAACATTCAAACAGCGCTTCGGGCCCAACATCCAGATAATTAATTTATGCACTAATTATATAATTAATAGTTTAATTAATTTACTTAATTATTAGTAATTTATATTATATTAATTAAGTTAATCAATAATACCTTAGAGGCGTCCAGGGTTTTGCATTTCATCTTCTCTTTTTCGTCGCTGTTCGGCTTCGTTGCTTTGCAGAGGCGTAGAGATTGCACGCGTCGTCGGCTCCTTCGTGGCTGTTAGACTTCGCTCCTTCGACGACTTTCCCTTGCTGTCGGATCGGAAGTTACGACATTTTGATCGGAAGCAAGAACGGGAGCTCGCTGGCTGTGAAGGTAACTTTTTTCCTTTCGCGCGCTTCTTCGGCCAAATCCCGTTAAATCCACCGAACCGAGGGATTGAGTAAATCCGGGATTTAAGCCGTAAATCCCTAAGTTCGGGATTTATGAAATCCCGGGGTTTAACGCGCGCACAAAAACCGTTTGGCTGGATTTAGCGTAAATCCGACTTAAATCCCACGATAAATCCTATACCAAACAGCCCTTAAAGTTGTCATTTTGGCTGTTGGGCAGGATCCGAGTTGAACTGCTGTTCAAATCCAGCGACCAAACGCAGTTGCATTTCACATGGGCGGTGTAGGTCGGCTTCGCCCATCTGGTTTCCCCATTGTGGCATCATAATCACAGAAGGGAGACGACGAGAGGAGTTCGCGCATCGAAATGATGCAGATTCCTAACCTGGACAATTCCCCTCTCAACTTCACCGCGCTCAGGCACGTTTTTCTCTTGTTTGCTACTTCTGGTCAATTTTACATTCAATAAATTGATTTTGTTTCACAGTTCTTCTGTTGGATCGGAAGGAACAAAGACGACGGAAGCTTGGTCAAGGCGAAGGTAGCGATCTTTCTTCCTTTCGCGCGCTTCTTCGGCCAAATACCGTAAATCCGCCGAACTCCCGGATTTAGTAAATCCGGGATTTACGGCAAAAAGAGGGAAAGGGAGGATTTAACTTGCTGTGAGATTTAACAGTTACCAAAAACCTGTTTGGCAGGATTTAGTTTAAATCCTGCTCAAATCCAGCATAAATCCTGTATCAACAGAGCCCCTGGGTTTCAACTTTGGCGTGAATCCGTCACCACTGAGATGGTTAGCGGTACAAGCCATCGGCCTCCGGAAAACGGGGATAAGGGAACGGGCAACTGTCGCAAGGTGGTTGCTGGAGGCAGAAGCTCGTGGGGTACGCCGGCATTCTCCGGTGGTCAGTCGGCTTCGACGAGCGGTAGCGCTGGCTCGCCGTCGAGTCGAAGCGAGCAGGCTCCAGCGGGCACCCCAGCAAGTGAGAGCACCATTGCCCGGCGTATAAAGCACCTTGAAGTCAATGGAGACGAGGCGGGATCGTCGCAAGGAGCAGCAAGGTGCAGAACTTTTGCTTGGATGGATTTATTGTTTTCTTTATTGTAAATTCTGTGTCTGCGTTCCGTGCATTAGCTGCATAGGAAGTTCTATTTTTGACTTCCCCAAGCATGATGCTTTTTACCACTAATTGACTTCCTGGTTGAGTTGTGGGGTTTGCTGGAGCTATTGGGAGTTGTTGGGAAAGGGTGGTTTGCTATCAATGCTACTGGGTAGAGGAAAGCGTGGAGGGAGAAAAGAAATAAAAGAAAAGAATAAGAAGGTAATTTTGGCCTGAATTGAAGGTAGAAACTTGATTACTTTATTCCTTGCTTGCAGAAAATAATCAAGGTTTTATCTCGAAATTAGGAAACAAATAAGAAAACTTCTTATTTCAAGGAATTTTAAGCCTAACAAATTGAAAACCAAATCCTTCATGCTGCTATGAGATCCTACTGAATAACTCACCCTCGCTAATAAGCCTTGGGTTGGAATTGATAGTAGGCATTCCCTTTTAATTTTCTGGTTGAGAAGATTTAGGTGTGGAATTGTGTATGTAATTTTACTTTTTCAGTTTTGAGGAAGATGCATGGATTGTTAGTACCATTAGTGCTTAATAGTTTTGTGCTGGTCACCTGCAGATGTTTATTAGTGTGTATTTATGAATGTCTTTTCGCATATTATTTACTTTCAAGCATGCTTTCCTACCTTTTTTGTTTATGCACACTCATATGCTTAATGTAGAAATCACAGACTTTTAGACACGTTTTTTGATTTTCAACCATTTTACTTTTCCTTGATTTGATGCATTTTATAAGCCAATATGTCCTCATATATTCTCCTTAATGATCAGACTTTATCCAGGTAGGGATGTTCTTTGTGATTTGTGGTGTTGATTAATCCAAAATCAAGACGGGCATGGGTGTTTTTACCATTCCTATTTCCAGCTTAAGTTTAGAATTGGGTTAGCCTATTTCTGCTCTTTGAATTTTGAGAAGCCTATTAGTTTTCTATTAAATATTCTTTGAAATAGAGATAGGTGACAGTGTTTTGAAGAAGATGTAAATCCATGCACAAGCATGATTTGAAATATTGATAGAACTACACTTGAGCAGACCGGAGCCATGTGAAATATCAAGAACAAAGTTTAGCTCTTTTTTTTTGTGTACCTTAAACTAGTTTTTGTTAGTTCTTTTAATATCTACTGTCTTTAAATTAGTAGGATATTTATGTTTTATTATTTAATAATTCTGCTGCGAAAGTTTCTGTTGATGTGATGAAGCTTCTGTTTTCAACAGTGCCAAAAAGAAAAAGAGGGGAACACGGGCTGTTGCAGGTGATAAAAGTGGGAGGGGACTTCGACAGTTCAGCATGAAAGGTGAATTCCGTGGTCCATGTTTTAATATTTAGCAAGTCAATTGATCAATTTTTGTGAAGCATCTTATCAGCTGCCTGCTTTGTTGATTTTTTTTATCAAAACAGGGTTCATAATATGGTACTATTAGTAATCCAACATATATATTGTGCTTGATAGAATGATGTTCTCAATTTCTTATATATTTTCTTGTTCTTCATAGTTTGCGAGAAAGTGGAAAGCAAGGGGAGGACGACATACAATGAGGTCAGATGGTTCCTTCTATTCTTGTTTGCAAATTTCATTTAAACTTATCTTAATTCGATGAATTTGTTGTTCTGTGCCTGTAATAGAATTTTTTGGGTGAAATCATCAAATTTTTCTTGAATCAAATTAATTATTTATATAAAGTACTCTAATTAAAAAGTAATAGTTTTTTAAGGGCGAATTTTCCTTTAAACTTATTTTATACCATTGAACTCAGTAACTAACTATGAAATTATTCTAATGTAAAACAATATACATAAATATTATGTTTTGATCAATTTTGCTTAAATCACATTTGGTGTGAGTGCACCAAAAACTTGAATTTGACTTAAAATTTTGTTAAAGTCGGACACACTAGTTGGAGCCTTTATGCCATAAGCCGTTTGGCCCGTTTCTATCTGCTAAAATATGCTAAACTTTTGAGCCTCAGGTATTCTAATTAGATCTCCTTGAAAGGTATTTAATCTTCATCGATAATTTTGTACAGTCCCTTAGGTTCTCACTATATTTTACCTATCATTTTCCCTAGCACTATATCGCATTATTGCATTTATATGCATCCATACAAAACGATGAAAGGACATCAAAAGGGACTATTTTTTTCTTAGATTGAGCCAGTGCACCTTTTTTTTTTTTTAATTTCCATTTAGAAAGCGAAATTACTACCTTCCAACAAGGCAACAAAATAAAGCATATCAAAGCTAAAAGATAAGTGAACTAGGGCAAAATAATAAAAGTTAAAATAAAAGAACCAAATAAATAATCCCATTGTTTCTGCTGAATAGATAATAGTTTGCCAAAGAAATGATGTCCCTCAGCAATACTGACACCTTAAAAAACCACCACCTTCCCTAGGGACCCTTAAACATAGCCATAGTAAACAAATTGATTAAAAGCATCTAAAAATTCCGTCCAAGATATAATAAAAAAATATTTATGCTTAATTGTGATGGCTTTAGATATAATAAACCTTAAACGAAGATGAACAGCAACTTGCTTGTTCGATTGGCTAGAAACCATTTTTTTTAAACTATCAAACTCGAAAGGGGAACATCAATAAGAGCCTATGTATTGTTTTCAATAAATGGAATTGAAGGATTCCACCTATGGCAGTTTTTTGGGTGAAATAGAAGATTCAGCATCCTCCCATCTACATAAATCATTTTCAAAGTGATCATGATATAATGAAGATTTTCCATCATCCCAATTCCTATGAGCAGGTTTATTTAATAACATTAACATCATCTTCGTGCTCGTAAGTTGAATCTAAATTATCACTGTCAAGTAACATTTTCAATGATAGGGGAGACACTGCATCTTCAAATGGTGATATATTGATTTTGTACATGATCATGAGTTTCAGGACGTTGACATTATCATGCAGGACTAGTTATGATTTAAATGAATGTGTTAAGATCTTGCATGTTTTGGAATAAGAGCAATAAGATTTAAAACATTAGCTAATAAACGATAATAGAAAACAAAAGAGCGGTGACTCCGCTAAGGCCAAATCACACAATAGAAGCTAAGATCACCAAAATATTTAGAATTTCAACATATGCAAATTAAGTAGATTTTCAATAGCATCCCTAGGTTCACAATGAGATTAGAAAGCATAGAAAATCAAACTCATGTCCTACGTTTACTAAGCATTAACATATAGCTTTGTAGGACTCCTTGTGCTTGAATCACAACCTACTAGAGAAGTGGATTAGGAAAGAAATTGAATAGGAGGAAAATGATAGGAATTACTTAAGTTCGCAAGAATCCCAAAGGGAAATACTTGAGTTCGCAAGCAATCCTATCACTAATTGGTGAAAACAACGAGAATAATGCAAAATATGGGCAAAAAAACGGCCCCCAAACGATGGATTGCAATGAGAAAATCAAGCCAAATAAAGACAAAGCAAGATACAAATGATCGTCAATTCAAGAGGAGGATCGTTCTCCCCCAAATCTCTAGAAAAGCAATCTAGATCCCAAACACCTAAGAACTCAAGAGAACACAAATATTTAAGCATGAGAAAACTCCCTCCAACCAGTCCCCTTACTAATACAAGTCATTTCCTAATTTCAAACATCTTAACATTTAAATTTTTCCTCTCAAACTAGCCTCCCAAAACCCCTTCTCCCCATTGCTCCAAATGGGCAACAACATTAAAGGGGGCGGACCTCACTAGTCCGCCTTTTGTAAATTTGAATAGGCCTAACAATACCGCCCTCCCAAAGATCACCTTGTCCTTAAGGTGAAAACTAGGAAATTGGTGTTTCATCCTCTCGTATGGTTCCCACGTGGCATCATAGTCAGGCAGATTCTTCCACTTGATTAACGCTTCTTTAGCTCCATCTTCTTTTTGGCGAACCCCCATCAACTCTAAGGGTTCCAGAATCACCTCCAAGTCCTCAGTAAGTGTTGCCGGTAACTCTGAACTGGTTGTGTAATCTCCAATGGCTCTTCTCAGCTGCGACATATGGAAAACCGAATGAATAGTCGCCATGAGTGGTAGTTGCAGTCGATATGCTACCGCTCCAATTTTGTCCAATATTACGTAGGGTCCAAAGTATCTTGGAGCGAGCTTTTCCTTTATCATGTTGGCAACTGTTTTCTGTCGGTATGGTCGGAGCTTTAAGAATACCCTCTCATAGACTGATTTCAGCCTAGCTCTGACTGCCAACACTTGGTTGAAAGTAGGCAATGGCGCCTATCATGCATGAGTACTGCCCCCAATCCGTATCCTGAAGCGTCTGTCTCCACTATGAAAGCCTGAGTGAAGTCTGGTAGAGCTAAGACGGGTGTTGTGGTTTTAGCCTTCTTTAGTTTCTCAAATGCTGTTGTGGCTGCCTCTCCCCATAAGAATCTATCTTTCTTCAACTGCTCTGTCAGTGGCCATGCTATAGTACTGTACCCTTTAAAGAATCTCCTGTAGTATCCTGTCAGTTCTAAGAATCATCTCAACTCCTTCAAATTATGACAATCCAAAATTAGGAATTATCCAAAGTAGGCAATGGGGGATGGGAGAGGGTGAGGCCGACGGCTTGAATGGGGCGGGTAAGGGGCTGGCGACAAGGTGGAGATGTGATGAGGACATCAATCAGAGGTTCAAACATGTGTATCGCCGGAAGCATCGCAGATCGACGACCACGATTCAGAGTTTATATTTTTAATTATTCATGCATTTTATTTTCTTTGATTCTTCCTATTGTACCCCTATTATGAGTTGAGTCATGTTGTATCCCTGAGGGCAATTTAGTCTTTGTTCCTTCATTTATGTTGAGACCTATATATAGGTCATTTCTATTGTAATGGGATGATGAATATTTGAATAAAAATTTTGTTGTTGCTGTCTTCTTCTTCATCTTGTGGTGCACTAGAGAGGAGAAAGAGAGCCCGAGGTGAGGGCAAACGCAATACCCGCTAGTCATTGGAAGAGTCCGTGACTCGTGGTCTACCTCCTTCATCCCGTTCTTCTTTCCTTCCCTAACCCGCCGGCCCTAGCCTTTCCCCTAGCCGCCGGCCACACATCCTTCCCCTTATCCCTCACATAATTTCACCCACTAGCTTCCCCACTTAAACTCCAAGCTCCATCATGACCCACCCCAACCCGACGGCAGGATCTGCCCCTTCCCCCCCTCCCCTTGACCGCCGGCCATCTTCCTTGATCCTAGTCGTTATGATGAATTCATTCTTCATAATGACTCTCCCATAATTTAGATCGTGCATTAAAGAAGGGAGTTATTGAATTTTGAAATTCAAATTTCAAATTAAAAAACTTTCCTTATTTGCAAAGTCTAAATAAGGAAGTTTTTCGAATTCAAAATTCAAACGGAATCTGATTGAATGACTCATTATTTTCCCCTCATAAGTTTCAAACTCATTTGGAAAGGGATTAACTCTCCCTAATCACTCCTCCCCCTCTCACAATGTCGCCGGCCCTATTAGGGTGGAAATCTCTTTAATGCTATTTTAATGCATTCAATTCAATTTATTCAAAATCCAAATCCAAATTCAAATTAACCTCCCTCCAAATTTACTCAAATTTGAAATTAAATTCAGATTTTGATTAAATCCCTTCAACACTCCACCTAACCTAATCTCCCCAAACCCTAGCCGCCTCCCTCATCTCTACCGTCGACCCCTCTCCTCTTTCCCCTTCCCCACTTTGGCCGGCCCTCTCCTTGCTCCCCTTGGGAAGTTTGAAGCCAAGAGAAGAAGAAAACGACGCCTTCCCACCTCCACTTCAATGACGTATGGCCTATCCTGAAGTTGATAGCGGATTTGTACTCGACATCTACGGAGACATCCACATCGCTCGATCTCCATTCTTCGACGTCAGGTTTGGTTTTGACAACACCATTGAAGACTACTTGAACCGAATCCTCCCCACCCTCGTGGACGTCATCGACGACCAATTCTCGGACTACGAGTGGACCATCAACGATCATCCACCTGAGACACCTCCGCCTCCGACTACCTCTCCACCACCGTCGACCTTTCCGTGGATTAAGACCATTGGTGTCGCAATCGTCCTCGTGGCATCGTTGGGTGTGCTGAAGACATTCTCCCGCTAAAGCCTAGTGTAGTCGAGTGATCAATCCCCAAGGTGAAAACTCTCATTATTAAATCGTGGATTGTTGATTAAGAGCTTTTAGTATTGCTACTATCTTTGTTTATCTATGAGATTTGGTTAATATACATGTACTCATTCGCTTAAGCAAGTGGAAAACTAAGACTCTTTAATAATTTTGCTTGTCATCACAATAAGTTATTGATTTGGGATTACATTGCCATTAACTCTGAAATTTCTTAATAAGCTCCTGTGCATTTTGTTTCACATCAATATGGAGACGATGTGATGGTGGGTGGGGGGAAACGACTAAGGAGAAGTAAGATTATGAAGAAAGGTGGGAGATAGGTTTAGTGAAATCAAAGATATGAAACCACGAACCCGACCGTCTCCAAGGTTGGTGGGTGATGCGCCAATCTCCCTCTCCAAGGGATTTCTCTCCGAACTCTCAAGCTCTCTCAAGAACTCCAAGCAAGAAAACAAAATTTTCAAATAATCATTCATTCCTTTTCAAAGAGAACATAGGGGCTATAAATAGCCTCGTACATAAGACTCAAAATAAAAAGACAACAATGCCCTCAGGGCTTACATACGAACTCCCTTTAAGGTAAAAACGAAAAACAATTACAACATAACTAATAATAAAAGACAAATAACATATAAAACAAATACATGAAATAATCTCAAAATACATCGTTGCGATCGTGGTCGTAGATCGTTGGCCACGTCTCTGATATCCGATTCATGCTCTGATGTCCCCATCATTATGTCTTCGAAGGGCCGACATTTTATGTGACTAAACCATTTAAGATGACTCTTTCTATTCTTATTTGCCACTAAAGCTACTCCAACCTTTTCACATATATACTCATTTCATATTCTGTCTCTAAGAGTAAAGCCACTCATCCACTTGAGCATCCTCATTTATGCATGACTTAACTAATTTTGTGCCTTTTCTTTTAATGGTCAACATTTTGTGCCATAAAGTATTACAGGTTTCCATTACGTTTGAGAGGTACTTTTCTATCACACAATATACCCAATGCATTCCTCCACTTCAATCATCCAACTTGAATTTTACTAATAATATCCTCATTTATTTAACCATTACTTTGAACAATAGACCCAAGATATCTAAAAGGAGTACTCTTTTTAATGACTTGATTGCCCAAAGTTACAATCCCCAACTATATTTATTACTATTAAAATTACATTTCATGTATTCAATTTTAGATCTACTCAAATGGAAACCTTTAGATTCTAAGATTGACCTCCATAATTTAAGTTTTCCTTCAACTCCTCTCTAATCTTATCAACAAGAAGAACGTCATCAACAAAAAACATACACCAGGATACATCCTCTTGCAAATGTATAGTAAAAACATTCATGACTAAAGCAAAAAGATTTAGGCTTAAAGATGATCCTTTGATGCAATTCAACTTAAATAGGAAAAATACTTGGTCAAATCATCTTGTGTTTGAACACACGTAACAACTCCTGTATACATATCCTTAATGACTTGATTATAAGCATTATTAACTCCTTTTTTTTCTAGATTTTTATAAATCACTTTTCTTGAAACTTTATCATATGTTTTTGCTAAATCAATAAATATCATATGTGGATCCTTCTTATTATCTCTATACTTATCCATCAATCCTCTCAATAAACCCCCCGTAAAATCATTAGCAGTAATGATTTAATTTCTTGATACGCATCTTCTATTAAAATTTTCATCAGTTATGGAGAAGGAACACTTCCACTTATGTAGACCTGTTGAAATGATGAGTCATAGAGGCAGCTCTTTTTTTACAGCAGGAATCCATTTTCATTTCTTTGAATGAGTATCCTTGTACCTTTTTTTGAAGTTCATTATGTTGGATACTTTCAATTGAATCATTTTGAAGCTGTACATTTAGAAGCACCCTATATTACTGTTTTTGGTAGTTGTTGCATACAGTTGTCACTCTTGGGCACATTGTTCCCAATTGGGCTGAACATCAACTTGAACTTTGTTAAACTCCTCTGAAGGACGAGGAAGGGGATGAAACCGATAAGATAAACGTGTAAACATCCTGCTGTTTGGTCACTTTGCAGATGCCAAGCTTATTATTCATCTCCTTTGTTGGAGCCTAGTCCGGGCTTAGCTGAGTTCTTTGTAGAAGATGCTAGTGGGAGTGTGGGACCTGATCAAACAGATTAATCACGACCTTGATGGCCAATATGTCATAAAGGGTGAGGCAAATTAGAGTTTAGGGGCGTGCATCTCAGTAATTACAGTAGTTTTTTGTGAAACATTTTCAAACTTCATCACTATATGCTTTTACATGACATATTCTGGGTTGTTTTCAACTGATGCGGTTCTTGTTGAGGGTTCTTTTTGTTATGCTTCCTATGTTTATTGTTTGGCCATAAGGTGCTTTGCGTTGGGGATAGTTTTTTATTTTTACATGTTGACTTTTTTACATGCACAAAAAAAGGACTGGTTGTTTAAAAAGTTGAATTTATGTTGTTTATCTGGAATATCGGAAACAAATAAGTTTTTTTTTTTTTCATTCACAGGTTGCAGATGAGCTTGTGGCTGAATTTGCAGATCCCAATAATAATCTGGCATCTCCAGATCAGGTTGTATGCTGATTCCAGATTAAAGAAGACGCCACCTTATATTTTCCGTTGTTCATTTATGAATTATGTATAATGTTTTCTTATGAATTGTGGGCAGCAACAATATGATGAGAAGAACATAAGACGAAGGGTCTATGATGCCCTAAACGTTCTCATGGCAATGGATATTATTTCAAAAGACAAGAAGGAAATTCAGTGGAAGGGTTTACCGAGGACAAGTCTAAACGATATTGAAGAATTAAAGGTTCAAAGCTTTTTATGTTATGGAAGATGTGATCATATTTCCTTTCTGATAATTCTTGTCTTGTAAAACTTTTAAAAGTTGGCAAGGGTATAAGTGGAGTTTTTTTTTTCCTGCTGTTTTATGAGAAGCTGATTATAGCGATTTTGAAAATGTTTACAGGCAGAACGTGCATCTCTCAAGAGTAGAATCGAGAAAAAGACTGCCTATTTGCAAGAATTGGAAGATCAAGTAAGATTAACTGCTTGGATATGGATCATTTGATGAATGGATTGATGCTTTCATATATTTCTATGCAATGTATGGATAAGTAATTATTGCCTGCTTACAAGTGTAATCATTGCTGAATGTAGTTAAGTTCTGATGGTTATTTGTTCATGATAGCATTTTGTAGAGACTCACAGCCTAACTGCCCGAACTTGTTTTCCTTGAATACTTCGTTTTTGACTATGGATTTAGTTTTCTAATAGTATGTTTTGCGGGATGAAAGGTTTCACTAGCTGGATGAATTACAAGTTTGTTAAAACATGCTTATTAATGTAACTGTCTTATGCATTTCACTTTTATACAAACTCTTATGGATCTACAATGTTTTTTTTTTTATCAAGTGAAACTAGATTTATTATCATTTTTGGGGGAAAAGAGAGGAATGAGGCAAAGGTTCATGGCCGCTATCTCCCTTATCAGCCTCAGCAAATGTTCATGGAGCACAAGTCAATGGAGATCCCAAAGTGAGAGAACCCCTAGGAGTGGTAGTAGTGATATGAGAATTGAGAGGTATTAAATACGTATGAAACTTAGGTGAAGTTGGTGAAATGGAAGGAAATGATAATGAAGGAAGATTTGGGGCCGAACAGAGCGAGGATATATGTTGTCAGACATGATAAATAAAGCAAAAATTGATTATTGGTGAGCTATACTGTAACAAGAAGGGTTGTATAAAGACACCAAGATCAAAGAAGGTATATTTGCCTACGTAAGGACTAAGGGGACAACCACTCCCAACATTCAAGGCTTACACCTCGCCTCGCCTCGCTAAGAAAATGTTTCAATTCCTGATTTCGCTTTTTTAAACCTTGGCACAGGGGAATATGTAGCTACCCCTTCATGAAGATTCTAAGGAATCTTCGTTGCAAAATATGCCATTTAGAAACACAATTGGCAAATAAATTCAAAATGAAGTAAATGCACTGGAAACTAAATTGGCAAATTATGCACATTGCAGTAGAAATCTCATATAGTTCATGTTCTTTTTCCTAAACGTGCAAGAATATAAACAGGCTTATATGAACTCGAGCTAGAATACATTTTATTCAAATTGATGGAACACATTTTCCAACATAAAGTCATGCACACAAAATTATGAGGAACCTTTAATCATTACAGAATAATTGAATCTTTTATGAAGTTTAGAAGGAAGAACATACCAGCCGGATCTTATTGCATGTTGGACAATACGGATGCTAAGAGGTGCATACCCAGAAAAAATCTATGAAATATCATTTGGCCTGTAAAATTCAATGTCAAAGTGAGATGTAATGCTTAACATATTTGAGGAAACAAAACAAATTGTTTCGGCACTGAAATCGACAAATGTATAAAATGCATGTTATTTGAAATTCTTCATTTTCTTGTTCCAGGCCTTTGGATAAGTGGTTAAAGGTTTGTAGTTAACTAACTTATTCCAATTTCCTCAAGTGTATTGCAGTAATCCTGGATGTATTGATCTTTTTACTGTTGAGAAAATAGTTCCTAATACAAGCTATATTCCATGGTGATGTTATTTTCTAGTGAAAACAAGTACAGTGGAGAAAAAATTCACGTTGTCTTGATAGTCTCATGAAACATGACTAGAGAGGCAATGCGATGTTTAAGGTCATTCAACAACCAAGTAAAAGATATAATCAAAGGCTTTCCATTTGGAAAACTTGATGGTGTCCTCAGAAGTTAGAGGGAGGCATCAATGTGGACGAGTTTGTTGTGAGAACAAATGAGAAATCAAAGGCCCTCAACCATAATGGATGCTTGGTAATTTAAATATTATTGCGGTGTCAAAATGTGAAAGGGGACTTCGAGTCTTTGAGGGATGTAGATGACATGACAACGTGGAGAAAAGCAGTCAGAGAACTGGAAAGTCAACTTAAATCATGTTAGAATGAGGAACACGGGAGTTAGGTCGTACTACCCTAGTAAGATTAGCATTAGGGTTTGCAACTTGAATATCATTTTAAAATAATTTCCATCCAATGTTACAATGCCTACCTAATAAACCAGTGGTACTACATTTACTTGAATTCATCAATATGAAGCATGAAAAATTACATTTGACATCTAATGCAAGGTATCGAAATTTATATTTTTCTTTATATAAACACCAAAAGCCTTAATATACATTGCATAGCTATTAGCTAGTATTTAACAGTTTTTTTTATTTAATAAATGGAAATTTAAGATTTAGTTTCCAGATTATGCTTGTCATTTCGCCTATGATCTCATTCATTCCACTTTTGACATCAAGATCATAGGTCTTCAGAATTTGATCCAAAGGAACGAACAATTGCATGGCTCAGAGAATGCTCCTTCAGGCGGAGTGGCTCTTCCATTTATACTTGTTCAGGTAATACCATTTTCTGTTTATCTTACTTGTTGGTTTGCTTCGTATTATTTACTGAAATGATTATAAAAAGATCTATCTTCATTTGGCTTTATAAATCTTTTTTGTTTAGGGGCTATTTGTTTTGCTAAAAAAGGAATGTAGAGTAAAATTTATTAGTGTAAAAGAAATGCAATGTATTTAAAATGTTTGGAGTTGTTTGGATTAGTGTAATACAAATGTAGATGATTTTTTTTTGTTTCAAGAAAAATAAATGTTGCGTAAAACACTAAAATCCAATGATGACAGCGTTTTTTGGTGTCTACGGCAGAGTTAGATTATGACTCGTATTTGGAATTCTACAAAAAAATGAACAAGTTTTAAATACATAAAAAATGAATTACGGAGTTGATTTTGACAACAACAACAACATCAAGCCTTTGTCCCACTACGTGGGGTTGGCTACATGAATCCTTTTCCGCCATTGTGTCCGGTTAAAAGTCAAATTCTCATCTAAATCTAATAAAGAAAGATCATTTCTAATATTTTCTAACCAAGTCTTTTTAGGTCTACCTCTACCTTTCTTAACATAAGCCAAATCTAATACCTCAACTTTCCTAACCGGGTCATTGGAAGGCCTCCATTTAATGTGACCAAATCATCTAAGGCGACTCTCTCTAATCTTATCTTCCAGTGGAGCTACTCCAACCTTTTCACGTATATGCTCATTTCGTATCCTATCTCTAAGGCTCAAGCCACTCATCCACCTAAGCATCCTCATCTCTGCAACACTTAACTTAGTATTATGCTTCTCTTTTAATGGCCAACATTCGGCACCATAAAGCATTGAAGGTCTCACCACCAACTTATAGAATTTTCCCTTAAGTTTGAGGGGGACTTTTCTATCGCACAATAAGCCCGATGCATTCCTCCACTTCAACCATCCAACTTGAATTCTGCTGATAATATCCCCATCAATTTCACCATCACTCTGAACAATAGATCCAAGATATCTAAAACGTGTACTCTTATTAATGGTTTGATCGCCCAAAGTCACAATCCCCTCACGAAATTTACAAAAATTTTATGCTGTATTTCTTTTTCATCAAACCTAACACCAAAACTTAAAACCAATACATTTGAAATACTTTACACATTTTTTATCAAACTAAACGGTGTCTTAGTAAATAAGGAAACTCAATCATATCCTAAAGATATTATAGTATTGAACTTTGCGCATGGGTTGCTAGAGCTAGTGTTTGAGTTATCAACAAAGCATACAGACAACTGAATTCCCAACTGCCTTTTTGTAAATAAAGTTGTGAACGATAACCAAGTATTTTTTGGCTTCATAACTGCACATTAAATCTTAAATAACAAAAATATTTTTTTTTTGATGATTTGAATTCTTACTGGCTAAAATAGTATTCTGGTTCTTTTCATCTTATTAAATTTTTTTCAATTAAATATTGCAATTATGTTTCTATCTTTTGATTTTATTAATGTTTTTCTTGTTCTTTATGATGGAACAGACTCGGCCGCATGCAACTGTTGAGGTAGAAATATCTGAAGACATGCAACTGGTTCATTTTGACTTCAATAGGTGATTGGAAAAGCTCTCTTTCAACTTTTAAAATTTATTTTATTTGATTATTACCTGCAATGTTTAAGCATACCATTCGCTATGCCAATAACCAAAATATATGTTGATGATTATGCTTGGACCTTGGCTAAGCAAAGTCGGTAAAAGGGAAGCATAATCCATACTGGACCTGATTTTTTTTTCGTCCATTGGTTATTCTTAAATATCTTGTGATGCAATACATAAAATTAAAAAACCCATTTGATATTGTACTATTTTGACGAATTTGTCATTACTTATTGTGCAAGGAATTTCACCTTGGAATCTGTTCTTCAAAATTTCAAGGCAGGATTGGCAAATTTGGCAGATGAAAACTAAGGGCTGTTTATAAAAATTCTTATTCCTTTGAGGGCAAATTTGTGCGAGGAAAATCTAGTTTTGCAGTAATTGGTCTGAGAGGACCCCTAAAGAAGGCATAAAGTAGAAACTAACAAAGAACTAGTATGGTTTGTGTAGCCCATGCAAATCAAATTAAAATTTTGAGGCCTAATTAAGCTTAGATTCTTACAAAAGCTGCAATATCTGATTCTCTCTGTTTTAATCTAATCTTAGCAAGATTTTAAAATACAAGTGATTTGAACTGAATTAAAATTGAATAATTTATAATTCACTTTGTGGCAGTTTGTCTATTATGCGTAAACTCTAAAACAAATTATTATCTAGATGCTTTTTTTTTTGCTTCCACTGTGTGTAATCGTTGGGTGGGGCACATTTCCTTCAATTTAGGTCATTCCATCAAGAAAAATTTCTTGCTTTGCCAATTCATAACCGGCAAGTTTCCTTCAATCTAATTTTCAACCATTTTGAGATCACCTCCTCCAACGCTATTTGTTTCAAGCTTCGTTTGGGACGGCTTTCTTCTTACTTTCTAAAACAACTTTTTAGTATAAAAATTTCTTGACTTTGAAATTTTTGTACTAAAAAGCCATTTTAAAAAGCAGTATGAAAGTTTTCCCAAACGAAGCTTCAGTTCTTATCAAACCACTCATGGAAATGCGCGTATATTGATTTTGCAGTACACCCTTCGAACTGCACGATGACACTTACGTGTTGAAGGCAATGAGATTCTGTGAAAGAGAACAGCAAGACGGCACACACGAACCCATCTCCAATGGCGGCGAGTGCTCCAGCACGCAGGGTATATATCGAGCTCAGCTACCTCTGCTCCAATGGCCCAGCCCCAGGAGCAAGTTGCCCACTTCACCACCTATTCCTGGAATTTTGAAAGCTCGTGTGAAACATGAACAACACCATAATCAGTAATCTCCTGACCCGTTTGTCAAATGTATCTCATAATTATATTTTTTCTTGTATAGCTGGGAAGCAGCAACAGTTAGGTTTAATGGATAGTTGCTGTTTTCCTTGTAGCACTTTTTTTTTTCTGCATAGAATCTGTTTCTGGTTTAGGGATCTATGTTGCTTTGATGTAATTGTTTGTATCATTTTTCCACTCGGTTTTCTTGTTCTGCTTTGTGATAGAATGTTGGGGTTGAAGATTGGTTTACAGAGAATTTGGTACTATCAGCTTTGTGGCATTGGTTCTTCTTTCATTGTTTATGGTTTTTTGTCAAAGGAAGTTTATATTATATTCATCTCAAAATGAATTTAAAGAATGTAGCACTCATTCATTCTGTTTAAAATTTGATCAGAATATATTTCCTTAATTTTTCTGTATGCCATTTAAGTTTGGTTTGTAGCTCTTGCAAGTTCACTCATTGGCTGCTGTTATTGATTTTCATTTGAATTAAATTCTGAATGCAGAGATTCCTTGTAAACCCAGAAGTTATGGTTTGGGTTGGAACCAAAACAACTCTTCCTAAGTAGCCCAAATGAATTTGGTGATGTAGTCTCTTAAGGGATTCTTGCTCCCCTTGTCAGTTTTGGGAGAAATTATTTTGTGCAGAGATTGGGCGTAGAATGTCATTCGGAGACCAACTAGAATACGCCACCTCAGTACTACTGACCTGTGGTATCGATATCGAGTAAGAGGTGATGTGACGCATTCTAATTAGTCTCCAGACGACGTTTGACATTCACACAAAATAATTAATCCAGTATTTTCATATTGAGCAACATAGGGAAGACATCAGGTGCTGAAATTTGTGAAAAAAAAATTGACAATGAAGGTTTTCGACGGCCGAAATTAGAGCCATTGCATCATCAAAGCTTCCAAGAAGTTTGATTGGGTTGTTAAAACTCTTGTATTGGTGGAGAGGTGAAGCCTTAAATTTTAAGAAGGGAGATGTATTGTGGAGTTCTGTATTGCAAAGCTAACAACAGTGATGTGGGTATGTGTCCATCTTTCTAGTTCTAGGAGTTGAAACAATGGGATAACTTCCTTTGGTTGCGAGGAACTTTTATCATCATTTCTGGTGGGAGTTGGAGAGGAATGGTAAATTGATAGTTGAGTGTTTTTTTAAAGTTTTCATAGTCAATTTGGGGAGGTCTCAATCAGGGGTGTCAAAATCGGGTTTTGAGTCGGGTTCGGATCGAACCTTGAAATTGACTCAAACCCGGCTTGGTATTGCAAACAGGGCGAAAATTTGGACACGAATCGACCTGCCTGGTTGATCAGACCTGATTCGCTAATATGGATTTTATCGGGTCGAGTCAGTCGCGCGTGTTATGCTCAGGCGGTGTGGTCCATGCGGAAGTTAGACTTGCGAAGTCCAAATGCTTGCGCTTGCGTAGATGGCAGGCCGCAGTCGAAGGTGGCTAGGCGGGTCGAGCGCGCACAGAGTGAGGCAGGCGAAGGCGGCCAAGCGGGTCGAGCGCGCGCAGGGTGAGGCCGTTATTGAGCGCGAGTGCGTAAATGACCCGTGACTGAGCGTGAGTTCCAAAATGACAGACACTACTAGGCGAGGCAAACATTTTCCTGGGAAAAGAATAGTGAAAGCGATCACCCCTCATTTACTTACATGAATCTATTTTTTCGTCTGAGATGATTTTCTTGCTGATTTCTATAGCAATTTGTAATAAAAAATTATTTTAAAAAATAATAAGAGAACAGTCCCAAATGATAAAAAGCTAATTTGTCATTAATATTATTATATGCAAACAAAATTATTTTAAGAAATCTCCAACTATGAATTGATGACTAATATTTAAAGCTTCTTTTATGCACCAACAAAACATTCTTGCATTTATTATAGTATCATTCAATTCTTCATAATTACTATACAATATAAGAGAAAAAATGTAGATGTGCTCATATATTTTTTTATGATATAATTAGGATTAATTTATGATGGATTCAAAATAATTAGTAAATGTATCTATATATAATGATAACACGCCATAAATTAGCACAATAAAATTAATCGTAATTATTTTACATAGTTACTTCACATTATAATTTATTTATAATAAAAAAAAATTAATATACTAAAAACTAAATATATTTTATATTTTAATTTCATGATTAATTTTGAGTAATATTCTAATAAAAGAACTACCTTTTATTTCCTACAATAAGATTGTTTTATTTATTGATCTAAAGCAAATATAGATTTTCTAATAAATTTTTTTTACATAAACCTATTATTTTAATATTTTAAAAATAATAATAGAATATTCTTTAAATAAATAGAATATTCTGTTAAATATTATATTAAAAAATTACTGAAATATGATAGTATAAAATTCGTAGTGGATTAAAAAAAATTAAAAAAAAAAAAAAAAACAGTTGATACCTACCTTCTCTTCTATAAATACATCTCTTCCATCTCCATATCAAAGCAAACTCTCCCACAAACTGAGAACAAAAAAATGAACTATCTCATCTCCTTCTTCCTCAGCCTTCTCCTATCTCTTCTCCTTCTCTTTCTCTTTCCTTCACATGACAATAACAACTCACACGCCGCCATTAAAGCCAAGCAACAAGCTTTCCTCCATTGCCTTCAGAGCCATTTCATCCCCTCCAATCTCATTTTCACTTCAGAAACCCAAAACTACACAACCCTCTTCATCTCCTCCATCCAAAATCCCAGAATTCTCACTCCCAATTCATATAAACCTCTCCTCATCATCACTCCAACACAAGAATTTCATGTCCAGTCCACTGTTTCTTGCTCTCAGGAGCTCAATATTCCTCCAAAAATTCGTAGTGGCGGCCATGATTATGAAGGTCTCTCTTCTGCTTCAACAATCACTCCTTTCTTTATCGTCATCGACCTCCGAAAGCTGAGTTCAATCTCCATAGATCAGGCCTCTGATTCAGCTTGGGTTGAAGCAGGTGCCACTATTGGTGAACTCTACTACGCCATTGCCAAGAAGAGCAAAGTCTCTGCTTTTCCTGCTGGAAGCTACTCCACTGTGGGTGTAGGCGGCCATTTCAGCGGTGGAGGTGTGGGGACTTTGGTGAGAGCTTATGGCCTTGCCATTGATAACATCATCGATGCTCGAATAGTTACATCAAAAGGAGATATTCTTGACAGAGAATCCATGGGAGAAGATCTCTTCTGGGCTATAAGAGGAGGAGGAGGAGCTAGTTTTGGTGTCATTTTATCATACAAGATTCAGCTTGTTCAAGTTCCTCCTAAAGTTACAGTCTTTACTACCACAAGATCTGTAAGAGATGGAGCAATTAAGCTACTCACAAAATGGCAGCAAATCGCTCACAAATTGGATAATAGAGCATTTATCCAAGTAAATTTGTTGGTGGTAGATGAAGTTATCATTGATAAAACAAATATGAAGACGAAGAAGACAATAGAAGTAATTTTCAACTCCTTGTTCCTTGGTGAGAAGCAAGAGCTGCTTTCTATAGCAGAAGAGTTCTTCCCAGAATTAGAATTGAAAGCTGAAGATTGCAGAGAAATGAGTTGGATTGAATCAGTATTACATTTTGCAGACTTCTCCACTGAAGTAGATCCAACTGTTCTGCTTGACAGAAGCTCATGGTTAGCCATTCAAAGCCAAGTCTGATTTCTTGACTGAGCCTATCAAAGAAGAAGCTTGGGAGAAGATCTTTAGTTGGCTGGTTGAGGAAGAAGAGAGGCCAATGCTGAAAATTAGTCCATTTGGAGGAAGAATGGATGAGATTTCTGAAACAGAAACTCCATTTCCTCACAGAAAAGGAACTTTATATGATTTGCTGTGTTTACTGGCATGGAAGGAGGAAGGGAAGGAAGAAGAAGCAAAGAGATATATGAAATGGATGAAGAAGTATTATGAGTTCATGAGTCCTTATGTTTCAGGAGAACCTAGAGGTGCTTATATCAATGGAAGGGATCTTCAACTTGGAATTAATGGTGAAGGGAATACAAGTTATGTGAAGGCTAGTGAGTGGGGTTTGAGATATTTTAAGGGTAATTTTAGGAGATTAGCACAGGTAAAGACTAAGGTTGATCCAGGTAATTTATTCAGAGATGAGCAAAGCATCCCTGTGCTTGTTTAAATACAAGTTGTTATATCTGAAATTAATTAAGAACATATTTTATATAGTTAGCCAGGCCATGCAAAGTTGATGAAAATAAATGTTTTTTATGTTATGTGTGCAGCTACTTTGTTGAATAAAATATTAATTATGTTTGTTGATTACTCCATAATCATTTGACTAAGCATTTAAGACTTAGTTACTTTGTAAATTTTATTGATTTATAAGATAATTATTTTCATAATGATGATTGTTACTTTGCAAAGTTTATTGAAAATTTCAAAATTATATTGTTAAGTAGTATAAATTTAGAGCATTTTCTTGTAGAGAAAGCTATAGAGAATTTATAGTAATATGGCTAACATTAGGGGTTAAAATTCATTGAAATAATGTGTCATGAAATGATAATGATGTGATAAAAAGTTGATTACTAAAATCCAAAGGAGGTTAGGTGCCAACTAATTTAATTAGTTGGTAAAGATTTTTGAACTTATTGCAAAGATTTTGTGTGAATTGTGATAGTATTTTTTCTATATTAAATTTATACCTTAACATTCAAATTAAAAAGAAAAGGTCCTAAATAAGGATTTCTATAGGCCTTCAATGTATGATGACATAAGGGATAATATGATTTTTAATTTCAATAAGTTTTTAATAATTAGTTGGGGTCTTGAATAAGTATAAGCACATCTTTAATATTTTTGTTCTTGTGGGATTACAAGAACAAAGTGTCTTATTCCTAAAAGTATATAAATAGATATTTTATACATATTAGGGGAGGTTTGAAAAGAGGACCCAAGAAGGACTCTAGAGGAGGGAATCCATAACTTCGTCTGTCGACAAATACAGTATGTTGTCCTTCACTATAGTCAACAATGTTTTGGCATCGATTGCCACGAAAAAGGCCAACATGATGGTAGTCAATAAAGTTGATGACCGCGGTTGCAACTATTCATAATGATCATTGTCTCCACTTAGGCTGATGAAAAATGCTATGACTACCACAGTACTTGATGGTTGATGCCATCAACATCGTTAATGCCCATAATTGCCACTATCATTAATGCCCCTTGGTCACTACTAACAACTCCAATTAGTACCAACATCCCCGATTCTCATTATTATTGCCAAGGCATATGCATACATTCTTAGTTATAACTCATCTCTCTTATAAGGAGAGTGATTAAGAAAATCTTTGATTGTCTATTGATGACAAGACTAACGATTCAATGCTCCAATTCTACCATAAAAGCTATCTTATAATAGCTAATTAATTACAAATCAATGTTAATGCTATACAATATAAATTTCAGATCATTTGCCTGACATAATTTCAATTTTGGATGATTTTGATGGGCCCCATAACAACATTGAGAATAGATCTGTCAATTTCGGGTTACGGGTCGAACCTGACCCGACCCGTAACTGACACGGCTTTATTTGGGTTCGGGTCAACCCGACCCGGTTTTATAAACGGGTCGTTTTTCGAAACCCGAACACGACCCGCTTCGGGTTCGGGTCAACCCGACCCGACCCGTTTAGGGTTTAGGTGACGCACTGACGCGGGCAACGCGGTGGAGTGGGCGGTGCGGCGAGCGGGCGATGAGCGACGCGGTGGCGGCGCGGTGCAGCGAGCGGTGCGTCGAGCGACGCGGCAGCGAGCAACGGCGGCGACGCGTTGCGGGCAGCGCGCGGGGCCAGCGGGGGCAGCCTCGCAAGGCAGTGCGCGGGGCAGGCGGGCAGCACGCGCAGCGCGGGCAGCGGGCGGGATAGAAAAATTCCGAAAATTCAAAATTTTTTTTAAAATAAATGGGTTTTCGGGCCCGAACCCGACCCGTTTTTGCAAACGGGTCGGTTTTTCAAACCCGAACCCTACCCGCCTCGGATTCGGGTCAACCCAAACCCGAAAATTCCGGGTCGGGTTTTCGGGTCGGATCAAATATTGACAGGTCAAGCTTCAAGCTATTTAAAACTTGAATAATTTATTTCTCATAATACAATAATAAAATTACCATCAGCTTCAAGACGTTAAAAATTCAAAAAATTAGCACCTAAATTAAAAATATTTAAATTTTAGAATCTCATCCAACTATTTTTGTCTATACACACTATAACTCAAATTGCTCTCTCTACTAGCCTATTTTGGGCAAAAGCTTGAGAGTTCTCAACTACTAAGCTAAAGTAACACTTCAACTACTTCATCAGGGTATTTTTTTCAAAATAGTTCTAAATTTATGCATTATTGAGTACATAATGATGCTGATTTGTATTAGGCATAAATAGTGGAAAAGTTAAATTATAATAATAATAATATAATAATAATATGTAGAATAATCAAAATTCATATTTTTGCTTGAGTTTTTTTTTTTGTACGTGCTAATAAAGAGTAAATAGACTATATTCTGTGTTACTATTGGCAGGCCTTTTAGATTTACACTGAGATTAATACTATTCAGGATATCATATAAAATGCTAATTTTGATAAAAATTCAATAATAATAAATTCTACCATGTTATGTTTTATGGAAGAATATCACGAAATACATTTTTTTAATATTTATATTCAATATAAGAAAATTCAACCCCTCTTCTCATGAAAGGCAATGGTATTGCATTTTATTTTTAGTATGCTAAAAGAAGATTTTCTATGGTATAAAATTATAAAAGAATCAGAGTTTTGAAAGTTGTGTAAGAAACTAAGAATGGAAGAAAAATCAGAGTTATTCAATTGAGATTTCTGATCAATTAAATAAGAATAAATCGTTCAGCATAAGCAATTATAGAATTATTAGTGGACTTTTTGGCAAAATAAATAAATAAATATTTTTGGTGACATAAATGATATGCCAAATTCTGTTAATTTTGAAATGCTATATATATATATATATATTTTGATGTTTTAATTTTTGAGTTACTAATTTTTGTTAATGGTTTTTAGTTTTAAAATTATTCAGTCTGCAATTAATATATAGTATTTTTTTTCTTTAAACATTTAATTTTCTTTGAATTAATTATAATTATTTCATTAATCAATTTAATTGTTAAGGTTCCTAATTAAATAGGATATTTATGATAATAATAACATGAAGTACTCATCTAAATTAATTTATGTTTTTTTTTTTTAAATTTTTTTTAATTTTTAATTAATTTTATGATATTTATTGTTTATAAAAAGTAGATTATTAGGGTTCAATGACTCTAAATATATAATAGACTTCTTAATGGATGATAAGAATTACCATATGAATTTCTAAGTGGAATGAGTTGTTTATTTAGGTGGTGTATCAACATCATGTGTTATTACATGGAAAAAGATTAAGTATTCTTATTCTACACAAAATAACCAAATGTTTTTAACACCTACTGAATTGAGGGTTGATTTTCAACCTTATTTTTAATTTTGGACATTACTTTGAGGGTATGAATTGCAATAGTATGCTAATATTGATGTCTATGATGTTACTTGAACCAAGCATGCATATATAGATGATAAATAAACTCATCGATATTGAGATATTATAGTCCATGTCATTGATGTAATGACTAATTTTTCGTATTCTTATTCTAATATTAATGTTTATGATGATCTAATACTGTCTAAGAAGTGATCAGTCTTAAGAAGGCCCCATAAAACTTGTTAAATCTAACAACTTAGTATGAAGTCATAAACAAAAACTTATTAACTCCATGCTGAAAAGAACCCTATCCCCCATCCTAATATCAAATCATGTTTGACTATTTAACCAAAAATTTTCATCGTTGTTAGATCTTACTCATCAGGCATATAAAGACCACCACTCATTGAGTCATGCCACTTGAATTTAAATTGGTCAAATTCACCAATCAGACTCATCTTGACAACATGAAATCATTAGCCTCAATTTATTGGTAATGAATCGATGTTTTACGTTTAGAATATAGAAATTATCATTGCCAACTCATGCCCTGGCATGCTAGCTTTTTCTAGACATATCTTGTCTAATGTGGGATTTGAAAGTGTCTCACATTGGAAAATTAAAATTTAACAACATGAAGGATGCAAAATAAACTATTTTGAGAGTTAATGGAAGATCAATTGAAAATATATCTTGAGGGTCCTTCAAATCTAAATCATATGTATGACTTTTAGTTTTGAGGGATCAAACCTTCCCATGGGCGTAGATCCTTATAATTAATTACATCTTAGGTGAGATATACAAGAAGGCTCTCAACTAAATGTATTATGTTCATGTTCTTTTTAGTTTAATAAATGATATCAAGTTCGTTAAGTATAAGGTTTAAAGATTGAGATCTTTTGTTGAACATGATAGTTAGCAAGAACGTAAAATGTCATCCAAGAAAAGGATTTATGGCTCCTTTAGGTCATGGGCTATATAGGTTTAGCACGTTAACACTTGAAATATGCTACATGGGGAGACACACACTTATATAAGAATAGTCAAGCAGTCCTAAAATTTGTATGTGAAGTCAACTTATTCTATGTGAAGCTTGAAAGATATAAAAAAAGAGTAAGCATCTCACCTACCCATAGGAGAGTTATCATGTGGCCTATATAATACATGAGAGAGCTTCATTGAGCATAATTCAATAGACGAACAATGAAGGTGAGGGATAATTAAAGCACAAGAAATCTCTCATTTACATGTGTTAAACCTTAACATTTTCAGTCTTTTATAAGGTTCAAATCGATGAGCATTTATAAAGAGATGAAAGATTTCTTAGTTACTCTAAGGATATATTCTAATCACCTGATGGTGATGTGCGGTCGTTTCATCACTAGAAATGAACAATTATGCATGAAAGATAAAAACATCATTTGATTAGTGTTTAACAAGATAGGCTCTAACCAGGTTAGTATTGCAAGTCAATGTGCCAAGAGCTTAATATAGATATTCTATATTGCCAACAAAAGGTAATAGAGGCAAGTGGTATGAGAGGCTTATTAGCTAAGGAGGCATTATATATTGAGACTATCAAATGATTAACTCCCTAAATGATCCCCCCTTTTTTTTGACTCCCCACATGTGTCCCTTCAACTCCTCCAGAGTTAAAAGTTTTCTCTCTTGTATTCTCCCTATTCTGAAGCTTCCCCACTACTTCCACTTATGATCTCTCCTTTTTTTCCCTCCAATTTTGACGATGAAATCCTCTATTCCATGAATGCTTTAGAGTTTCTAACTTTTTTTTTTCTCACTTGCCCTCTATTTTGGGATCTAAATCCATTCTCTTGCTACTTGCCATCTCCTCTTCCCTAACTTAAAAAGGCCGACTCATTGCTCATATTCCAAACTCCTCCTCTTTTAACTACATTCATTGCTTGCATGAAAATGTTATCTTCTCTGTCGATGAAATGGCTGAAGTGTCAAATCTTTGAAGATCACCCTAACGGATTATGCAAAATAGCAATTATTATTGTTTCTAAGTTTTATAGATATTACACTCATATCCTTCTATATGTGAATGCACTGAGGATAATTGAATTTCTTCATTGGTGTAATTTAGTTGTGTTCGTTAACTCTTGCATGCTTATTGCTCTAACTCAACTAAGACGGGTATTTGCCTTCTTAAATATACTACTGAGCCTATTTTTTCCGACCTTGACTCATCTATTAACTTTTGATTAAACATTTTGTTATGCATTATATATGTTATAATTTTTTGTTATGATATAATTTTTTATGATAGTTGTAGGTGTAAATTTTTTTCATTAAATCGTCAATTCTGGGCTGGGCCGTTATCAGGTCAAGCCCATATTAATAGAATTAGCTAAGATGTCCAGTGGACCGCCGGGCCTTTCAAGAAGAAATGTTTGGCCCTTAAATAGTTAAATTTTGTTCTGCTTTTTCCGCAAGGAAGAAATAAATAAATAAATAAATAAAACGCTGGCTTTGTCCAGGCCGCAAAAACCCGCGCAACCGCAAACTAGGGTTTTTGCGGTTCGGGACGTCGCTCCTAGCTCCTCCACCGGCCATCGCGCGGGCCCTCACTCTTTGTTTATTTGTTGGGTTTCGGTGGCTGAATCTGGTAACAATTCAAATTTCGTACCTTTATCTATCCCTAGATTCATTTAGAACGGAGTTTCGTTCTTTTGTTTATGATCAGTTTTTTGATAGCTTCGCCGATAGTTACTTGTCCTATAAAAGGAGCTCGATTACGTTAATCCAAGGTTTTTTTTTTTTGAATTTTTTGAAATTTTTCTGTGGTATCTGCCAACCTTGGTTGCATTGATCAACACTGATGTTTTCATGGGGTTCTTCAGAATCTGTTCCTGGAAGTTGATCTCCATTTGATAAATAAGATGATAATTATGAGCTATTTAATCATGTGTTAAGTTGATCCTCGTGGCTTTTCAAAATAAACCTCTTTGTCAGCTGATACCAAACAATTCAACCAATGTTTATATGTATCAATATCTGTAACTGGTTTTAGATCTGTTGAAATGAATATTCACTTCTTCGATTCTTCAAATTGAGCATTTATAATATTCTTAAAAATAGTGTGCGAAGTTTTTTTTTAACTTATATTGGTTATAAATTTTTTATCTTTTTTACTTTGAAATCGACTTCAATAGTTTTTGTTTGTCTTGTTCAACTATAGGATTGTTTTTCCTAATTTTATGATTTTTTTTATTTTGCAGCCAGGAAGCTGGTGATTATTTGATTTAGAGATGGGTAGTGCTCCAGCTCCATTCTTTGAGATCGGGAAGAAAGCAAAAGGCTAGTTTTCATATTTTTTATATCTTTTATTGTGGTTATCAACTGATCCTTAAGCAGATGTAACTGGATTTACTAAACCATTCTGTTGCTTTCGAAACTGGTAGATCACATGTAAAGTTATCATCACATTAGTGTGCATTTAATCATTAAGCAGGAGTAATGAACTCTAAGTATACTGATTTGACTTGTATTATTACATTTGGAAATATTTTACCTTGAAAATGACGAATTTTCCTTGAATTATTTTCCAGGAGGTTGAGCTGTAAAATATATTGCCAAAAAAAAAGGAGAAAAATTGAAATGAGAATCGTGATTATGTATGATTATAAATGCTTGATAATTTGATTTGAGTGAACCCTAACTTTATTGCTGTTTATGAGCAATTGTTCAGTCCATATCTTGACTATTCTATTTAAATGTGAATAATAATGTTGGGTGTACATAAATTCCATATAGTTTTTGCATTAACATGAGATTTACTAAACACCAAATATGCTTGGGTAATCTTTTCTAGATAAGCAAAATAGAGCACCCTTATCTCTTTATTGAAGAAGAAACACTATGAGGGATAGTCATATCATCCTCCTGGAATAATCAAGATGCACATGTTTTTAAATTGTGTTACTCTCTTTTTGAAAAAAATCCCTTTTTTAGATTTAAGGTAAATTCTTAGTGAAAACCCTACCTATATTCCTTGTTGATAGCCTTTAGTGGCCATCACTAGAAACTCATTTGCATCACATCACCTCTATTTTTCTTTATAATCCTCCACTATTTTAATCATTCACTAAGCAACATTGTGCAATATTCCACTCTCTTCATCTATGTTTATGTATGTCAATTTATATAAATTACCCCAATCTTTCCATTAATTTTTATCTTATCATCCATCCAATAGTCTTCCTTGATCTCTGTCATCTTTCCATTATATTTGACCTTATAAACCATCCAATAGTCTTCTTGGATCACTCTTTCATGTAAGACCCTTTTCCTTTAGCATATTTTTGTACATTTACGGTTAATCAATTTTAAAAGTTATACATTCAACTGTTATGTTTATGTAATAGATGAAAAGAGTTATCCCAATTTTTTGTTCCAATCATATTTATGTTGTTAACCATGGCTGACAGTTCACAATTTTTGTTTGAATATTGCAATGTTGCTTTTAAAGTATATTGCATTAATATCAAATTGCTATTTGTGCTCTTCTAAATACAAATGATTTCTTCATGAATAAGCTTATTCTAATACTTTTTGATATTTTGCATCTTATATGAAAATGTGACCCATATCTTGGTATTCACATCATGCAATTTTGGCACTAGTGCCTTAATTGTTTTTTTATTTAATATTTATGGTTCCAATTTACCCTAATTTGTTACTTTTATGAATCTTATGTTTATCACCTTGATTTGGTTTTTTGCTCTTAATCTTGCTTGAATAGAATTTAATAATTTTTTATTGATTATTGTGCCTGACGCATGCTCAGCTTAAGCACTCCATACAATATAATTTATCTGATGGATGAAGATGTGATAGATTTTGTATTTTCAAAATTTGTAAAGCTATTCTTCCTTACTAGAATTTTTTATAGCCTAATTATGAAGATGCTTGCTTATGACATTCCTATATCATTTAATATTTTTGCTTATGCCATTTCTATTCCATTTAAGACAAATATAATCTATAATAATCACAATAATTCAAATTTTGAAACATTGTCTATATCTTCTTGCAGATATTTTGACGAAGGATTATTACTTTAATCATAAGTTCTCATTGGCAACAATAAGTGCTGCTGGATTGGTAATAGTCTAAACTGCAACTTTTTTTAAGATTAATAATGTTTTGATTTGCACTTTATATTGGCAACAATTTCTTTGAACTAGCATTTTTGATCTAGTTATGATGAGTACATAGCTATTATTTTTATGTATGAGTGTGTTGTATGAATTCCATGTGCACATTCTTTCTAATTTCAAAGTGAAATGCCTATTTTTCTTGAGTTCTTTTTATACTTGTGCGATTTTTGTTTGAGAGTTTACTATTTAAAGACCTAGTTGATTAGGTAAAGTTTGATTTTCTTACTCTAGATGTAAAATTGGTTAGTGGTTGCATTGGATTTTAAAAATTTCTATGATCAATATTTATTTTGGTATTTAATGTGCTTAATATATATTTTGATAATGAGAAAAACGATCAAAATAGTCCCTCATCTATTTGTGGGGTCCAATTTAGTCCCAGATGATAAAAGGTCTGGTTTAGTATGTGGATTTCTTACATAGGAGCCAAAATTGTTCTGCCATCAAAAGTCATGAAAATTGAAATTAAACTTAATTGATGGGGTTAAAAATGAGGATATTTTAGTAATATACATCTTGAAATTTTTATAAAATCTAGTTTTCTACTTATTTTATGTCCTTTTGTATGAAAGTAGACTTCTTGCACAACAATGACGTTCTCAATAAAAAAGTTCAACAAAATCAATATTAAAAAAATAAAACTTAATATTGCAAAATGGAAAAAATGAACTCAACATATTTCATTCTAATAGAATCAAGATAAAAAAATCAAACAAAATTATTTATTACAAAAAATATCTTGCTCCATAGTCTACACGATCTTAATCCACTCTTGTTGTACGCAAAATCAGCTGTTGCGCAGCACAAGGAAAATATATAAATACTAAATTGTATTTTGTAATAATTTCAAGAAGACGTATTCCTAAAATACCCTCTTTTTTAATCCCATCCTTTAACTTTAACTATCATTATAATCTCTTTTGACAACGAGACTATTTCATCTCCTAACTAGTATGTTCATGCAGTAAATCAAACTATTTATATAGTATAGGAGAAACATGGTATACCGTTCTCCTTTGTGCCAACACCCCCCAACCTCTTTTTTTTCTTTTCTAATTTAGTCTCAAAAAGAATTTTGAATGGAAAGAACAAATAAATGTATCAGTTAAAGAAATATTAGTTTTTATTTTTTTTTGGAGATATAACTTGTTTCGGATTGTACATATGGCCTGGAGAATTGGCTAATAGCCCTTGCTTATGCCACATATCAACCAGCTTTCCAAATGATAAATTTGATGACTACCACATTTTTTAATTGAAATGAATGAATATCTTGCTGGAAACAATGTCAAGCTATTGCCATAACCTTCTTATTTTTGGATCGGGGGAACCATGACAAGATTCTCTATTAATTTGATTGTGATAAAACTATGAATTATGTCAGATAAATTTTATTGAAGTTTCTTCAAATATATGTCTGGTCACTTTAGGCAAAAAATAGGTATGTGAAATCATGGGTGTTTGTAACATCAAGTTTATTATCATGCTAGGAAAAAAAAAGTTTATTATCATGCTAGAATCATTGTAAGCAAAAGAAACTAATGCCTCAGTATTGTTCCAAAGACCCTCTAATATTCTAGATTTTTAAGCTCCAGATTGTTTTCTTGTTCTCTTGGGCATTTCAAGTACTCTTATGTTAGATTATTATTGTTGTTGTTATTATCATTAATAAATTCTTGAGTTTTTTATAGGAATAAAATTATTGCATGCTAGAATATTCACAACAATAAAGATTGAGTTTATGGTGTTAACGTTACACAAAACTTTCTCCTTCCACTTCTTTTGGCTAGCTTCCTACTTGGAATCTTGGTAGCTTTACATTTCACCCATTCAATGAAGAGGAAAGCATGGTGATGCTTTAGTCATTGGGGGAAACTATGTTATAACTTGGGCCACGGAAACCGGTAAACTACTAGGTTGGCTTTTTTTATCCTCTTTGTTTTTCCTAACAAAGTACACGTTTTAGTAGTAATAGTCCTAGTGAGGGGATTATGACTTTGGGCGATCAAGTCATTAATAAGAGTACATGTTTTAGATATCTTGCATCTATTGTTCATAGTGATGGTGAAATAGATGAGGATATTATCAGCAGAGTTCAAGTTGGATGGTTGAAGTGAAGGAATGCATCGGGCTTGTTGTGTGATAGAAAAGTCCCCCTCAAACTTAAGGGAAAAATGATCTTTCTTTATTAGATTTAAACGAGAATTTGACTTTTAACATGACACAATGGAGAAAAAGGATTCATGTAGCCGACCCCACGTAGTGGGACAAAGGCTTGATGTTGTTGTTGTTGTGGTTGTTGTGTTTTTCCTAACAAACTAAACATAGTACTTCTAAATCTAGTCCAGCTTCTCGAGTCAGAATTTGAAGTTTTGATTAACTTGGACAAAGTGTTGACCTGTTTGTATTTTAGCTTTTTTTGAAGCATTTGTATCTGTTCTTTCATGCTTTGTTGCATTTATCATTTTCATTATTTGCATTTCCGTCATTAATCATTAAATGGGCCGATGTGGCTCTGACTATTTAGACTAGTCATCCATTTGATCATTTGAGAATATGGGGATTTATCTACCTTTACTAGTGATTAATGTTTGTCCCTAATTTAAATGTAGATGACCATGAACTGTTTTTTTTTTTTTGGTCATGCATATACGATGATATAAGAATAAATGCATTTTTTTTCTTAGTGTTAATGCCCCACCCCCAAAATCCTGTCATGCATGGAGTGTCTGATTAATAAACTGGAGGAACCATTTGTCACACAGTACTTATGTTGAGGAGATGCATTGGTTTGAAAATTTTACCTTAATTATTCCCTAACACATTTTCTCTGATTAGTTTTATATGATATTTTCGAAAATGTACCTGCTAAAACATCTTCCATACATTTCAGGGCATAACTGCCACTGGTGTAAAGTTGGATGACCTATTTGTTGGTGATATAAGTACACAATACAAAAGTGGTAAAACAACTGTGGATGTTAAGGTTGATACCAATTCCAATGTAAGTTGATTGCTTGCCTTAAGTATACATTTTGTATTCAATTCGTTTGCCCTTGATGTTGCATGGATTCTCTTAGTATGTTCCCATATATCGATGGTTTACATGTCTTAAGTTTACTTCCCACATGCTTTTTACAATTTAGGCATGGTTCTCCAGTCAACTTATTCCCAAAAATAACTGTTGCCTAGGTATCAACTACAGTTACAGTTAATGAGATTGTATCTGGTGCAAAGACTACATTCAGCTTCAAAATTCCTGATCAGAAGTCTGGGAAGGTAATTATATGTAGTTCTTTGTGTTATATAATTTCATTTCATTTTGAGATAACTTTTCCCATGATCATTTCCTTCAAGCTTAAATGGTATGGTTGATCAATGTGGTTTTTTCTTAATCTCCTTTCATGCCTCCTCTTAGGCTTCGTTTGGGATGGCTTTTTTATTCTTCTTAAAAACGGAGTTTTAATAAAAAATTAAATTTTTTTACTAAAATTCTGTTTCAAGAAGCAATAAAAAAGTCGTCCCAAACGAAGCCTCAGTCATGCTGTCACATATTCATGGCAAAATGTAAAATTAATCATGTTTTAATGCTTTATATATTGATTTATGAACTCTAGAATTTATTTTCAATCTCTTATGGACAATTAAGTTGGTTCCTGTTTTAAATTTCTTGTACTAATTTGATCTTACCCAACACATGCTATCCTTTGTCACGGTTCTTGCCACCTTTTTATTCTATTAACCCGATGTCATAGCCTTCTACAAATTATGCTGTACCATTTTGTTTGATGAGAATTAGATCATTTTTTTTGCAGTAGAATGTAATATACATTAATTTCAAACATTTTTTTTACCAGTTGTTTGAGTCGTTTAATATAAAGTTTTGTTCATGTGCATATTAGACACTTAACTATTTTGGCATTTTCCCAATATCAGAATGATTAGTATGACTTCAAAATTTTTAGTTTATTTGAAGTTTCATTCCTGAATTAAGTATTACTTTTTTTTCTCTATCAAATCATTTGTTTTTTGACATAAGCTTCAATATTCTGTGGCAGCTGGATGTCCAATACTTACATGATCATGTTGCCATCAATTCCAGCATCGGCATGAATACTATACCAGTTTTGGAGCTTGCAGCTGCAATTGGCTCCAGGAAATTTGGTATTGGTGCTGAGGTTGGATTTGATAGTACTTCTGCAACATTTACCAAATACAATGCAGGGATTAGCTTTAACCAACAGGATTTTTCTGCTGCATTGATATTGTAAGTATCTTGTTATCTGTTTATTGGTTATCTAGTTATTTCTTGTTCATGGTGCATTCTGTTTTTTTATTGAGAATCTTAGATTTAGGCTTCGTTTGGAGCGGCTTTCTTGCTGCTTCTTAAAACATATTTCTAGTATAAAATTTTTAATTTTTTACTAAAACAACTTTCTTACCGCTTTAAGAAGCAGTAAGAAAGACGTCTCAAACGAGGCCTTAGAAGTGCAGGGTTTCATTTCATTTCGAAATTCATTGTTTCATTTCTATTATCTGCTTGTTGGTAATTTCTAAGCATGTTCCTTATACTGAATTGACACGCACTGATAGTTTATCTATGGACTTGTACTCTTATTCATGAAGAATTGCTGATCACTTGGATACTGTTCCAAAGGAGAGCTTAACCAAGTTTTTGGTCACCTTTACTTGACCTTTCATATGGAAAAGCATATTGGAACTACCAGGAATTTTTCCTTTGGTAGCTTGCAACAAAGCATATGAATTTTTCCTCATTTTTGAAAAATTCATTGTATCTGGAACCACTTTGCATAGATCTGACCAATGAAAAATTGTAAAACCCTCTTACATCTTTTTGATCTATTCATTCATTCAGTGAGATAGAATATGTGGAGGTGATGTAGGGCATTCTAGGGCCTAGAGTTTCTAATGCAGTTCTAGCATGCAATGTTGAGTTAAGCTAATTGCAAAACTTTTGCAAGAAAACATGCAAATTTCATAATGAAGAAAGCTATCGCTCATAATTAACTATTTACTAGTAGTGAAAGCCAAAAGCTAATAAAAACCCCAATTCCATTGCTATGGTTTTTTCCTATTGATATAAATTAAAAATCATAAATTAAAGGTCATAAAAGTTATGCAAGGGGTTGAGATTTTGTGCACGTAATTGAATCAAATTGTGAAGTATGTGAACAAGATTATTGACACTTCAAACCTTCATAAGAGAAAGAAAAGAAGTGGGAGGAGAGATGGAGAGAGATAGCTTCTGAGGAACCTGTAGGAATGTCCACAAGGAATAGGAACCATAATCCACTTGAGAGTATATTAATAGCCACCAGAAAATATGAATCTCGATCATTGAAGTCACCAAAAAAGACTACAAAATCAGGGGAGCCATAAGTATCTCAAATCATCCACATAAATAGGAGAAGAGCTATATATTATAAGAAAATCTAGGATAAAAATCCACATGCAAAATTGTTGTTCTTCATATGCATGATATAAAAAATTAAATATAAGTCCATTATTACAATTCAAAATACAACATTTGAAATGTAGTTTTAAAGCTTACAATTCAAATTCAATTAATGTAGACTTTTAGCTTTTCATCAAATTTGGCTCTAATGATTTCATTAGTTATTATTTTTCCAATGGATCTGACAATGGCTGTTGGATTTTCTTGATGCATGAGTTATCACAATTTTTTCTTTCCACCTCAGAAGATATATTTATTATCCACCATTAGTAGTGGAGATGATTTTATGAGGAATAATAGCTTTAGAAGCTAAATTAATATAATTGTTTGGAAATGTGCATATGATGAATTGGATATAGGAATTACAGAATTGGTTGATAGCTTATTGAAGAAATTTAGATTAGATACAATAATAATTTGACTAATACCAGTTTTTTTTTAGAGTTTTATTTTGTATGCATTTGTCCCAATACAATGCATACTGACCCTTCGAATTTCTTAGTAGGAGATGAGCTTCGTGGCCACCTCTGAGAGTTCATATCCTTGATGAGCATTTTGTATGGTCTTACTTTTCTTTTAATTAGTTTTTTGAAAGCCTTTGGTTAAATTTTCTTAAGAAATTTGAGAAAATCTTTATAAGTTTAGAAGGAATATGAGCTTTAACATCTTTGTTTTGTTGTATTTGAATAGTTAAATAGTATGCTTTTGGTGAAAGCTTTCATGCAAATCATGCATATATTGGTAAATATAATATGTTGAATATAGGTGTAATAACAAAATTCTTACAAATTTTTTTATTACTTAATATATAGATAATTCTAGGAGGAGGAAAAAAATATGAGGAAAACTTCATCTAAATATTCATAAGCTTTAGCAAAGTCTTTCAAATAATTGACTAATCACATATATGCTCGATTCAGATTGAAGTTATATCTACGGAGTTATAGAATTGATCATATAATTTAATAAATTCAACAAATATGATTTTTTTTTAAACTTATAAAGCCAAGGATTGGTTCAAATTTCAAGTCTAGTTTTAGTTCAAATGCGATCTTATTTTCAAATTCAATTTTAGATTTAGATTTTAGCTCTTGTTTTGCTTTATATTCAAACGCATGCACTGTTGCAAACCAAAAGATATATTTAGGTGTATATCCCAACTCAAGTTCGACTTTAGATTGAATATTCTTTGTCAAGCATGGAGTCATTGATGTGAAACATATGCATGGGAAACAAAAACTGTTTGGAAATTTTAATATAAGATTATTAAAGCGTTGTTAGTTATAGAATTAATGTTTATCCAAGTTAGGCTTTCCGAATTATCAAGTAGAAATTATGTAAGGCATGCGGTTACAACTAGAATAACATGGTACTCTCAAATGAACAACATAAAATGAATAAGACAATGTTATGGTTAAGAAACAAGAATCCCCGGTTAACAAATAGATCTCTTCACCTTGGGTCCGTCACTCACTCTCTTGTTGGTGGCACTTTTAATGGAGGAAGATTGAGAGCAACTGAGCGATTCCACTAGGAGACAAATGGCGCCCAAAGTGTAGTCCGTTGGAGAGGTAGCCGGTGGCGGGTAGTCCACGGGATGACTAATGAGCATCCAACGTCCGGGAAGAATAGGCTCATCGATGAAAGATACTAGTGTGAACAAGATGCGATTTAAGTAATCCTCCACGGAAGAATCCACATCAAGGTTTACGTCGAAGAAAGGGGGATTCAAGGATGTTGGTTTGTCCTTGATCATCAAGTAAGAAACCATGGTCGACTTCCAGATCGGCCATGCATGATAGTGGTGGTGGTTGGGAGAATCTCTCTTGAGCTTGGTGAGGAGGTGAGGAGATAATGGGAGAAGACTTGGGAGGGTGAAGGGGTCGGCTATGGGTGGAGTTATTTGGGTTGAAACAAGTGATTTGGGGACAGAGAAGAGAGGGAAAATCTGAAGTTTAATTTCAGATTTTTCTTAATGGAAGAAGCTAATTTGAAATTCAAATTAACCCAATTAAGGGATTAATGGGGCCGGTGGTTATTAGGGGATTTAGGGATGGATTAATGTTGCTTAGGTGGCAAAGTGGAGATAGAGAGGGGAGAGGGAGGGGAGAGGGGTTTAGAAGTAAGAAAACTGAAATTAATTTCAGCTCAAGTGAAATTGGAGGGAGAATATTTGAAATCAATTTTGAATTTCAAATAAGGGGGAGGGGCATTGAAAGAGCATTCAATGGGAAACCCCATTAAGGGGCCGGCGGAATCAAGGAGGAGGAGGAGATTGGGGAGGAAGGGAGGGGGGTTTCCAAATGCGAAATGATGACTAGGAAAGAAAATTATTAAATCCAATTTGTTTTAATTTAAAATTGGATTCAACATAAAGAACTTTAGTAATTTGGATTTCCCAATTTGGAAAGAATTTGAAATTTGAAATTTGAATTTCGAAATGATGGCTAGAGAAAGGGAGGGGAGGTAGGCGGATGGAAGGGGGTTGGTGGCAAGGTGGCTGGCCGGTGGTAGGATCAAGCCGGCGGCTTGGGCTCCAAGGGACGGCGACAAGGAGGTGGTGGTCGGGTCCAAGGGACGGCGGCAAGGAGGTGGGGGTCGGGTTTTCCTAGCCAATGGGTGTGGTTGTCTTCTCTTGAGGTGAAGGGGGAAAGAGATGGGTGGAGAAGAAAAGGAAATCGAGAATCACAAACCTCACACTTCCCACTAGAACTCACAAAGAGATCTAAGAGCTTTCCCCTCAAGAACTCACAAAGAGATCTAGAGAAGTTGGAACTCACAAAGAGATCAATAGTAGAAAATTTCATTAATAATAATCAATCCTCTTACATAAGAAAATGGTCATATATATAGGCCTCAAAATGACAAAGAAAACAAAAGACTAAAATGCCCCTTGGGCTACAATATCGACCAACTACCCATAAGGGCAAAAGCGGAAAAACTGAAAAATAAAATAAATTACTACATAAAATGACTCAAAATATAAACTCATGCTCGTGGCCGTCGATCTCCGGCATCTCCCATGATACATGTGTCGAAATTTCTAACGATGTCCTCATCAGTCATTCTCCATTCTATAATCATTTTCTAATTTTTAATCAACATTAGAAAGAGATATATATATTTTATATATTATAGCATCTTTAGTAGGCTCTGACTTTATCTTATGAAATATTGGTGCTTGTTTGAGGGTTGTTGATGAATGTAGAAGATTTCTTACTTGTGAACACTAGGTAGATGTGCAATAATCCTAACTAAGGGTGCAAACGAGTCTAGTCGAGTCGAGCTCGTGTCAGGGGGTGTTCGAGAGTCAAGCTCGACTGTCAAATATCAAACTCGAGCTCGACTCTACAGGAGAAAACTAGCTCGTTGAGCTGCTCATTGAGTGGCAATTCGAGCTGCTCATCCGCATCCGTCGTGCTAGCATTCGCGTCATCTTCGCCAGCGTCAGTCTTCGGCATCCGGTCGCCTAGGATAGAACTGCAGTAATAGGTGCAAAATTGGAAGCCCAATAAAATAAAAAAATCTTCAACAAACCTGTTTTGGAATAATTGATACAAATAGAAATTGAAATTTATTGAAAAGCTCGCAAGGAGACTACCGGAATGGTTGCAAGGAATAGGAAATTCTGGAGCCACTCCATTTTTTTTATTATGTTGTCGTAAGTCTAAAAGCTACATTATCATCTTTAACTATATGTTCATTTTGCTGCATAAGATATGCAAGATACCTAAATCTATCATACGTAGGTTTCTCGTGTTTCTTCTAATAATATTCAATGATATTTTTTGACATCATACATGTTAAAATTACATATCATATACTCAATATATATTCCTACTAATTCTAACGCTTTTAGCTTCTCAATATTTCATCAATTGTTCAAATTTTTTGCTTATTTCGATGGATGCTTCTATAGTTTGAATTATATCATATGTAAAATACATACACCAGAGCATATAACTTCAAATATCTTTTTATAAACATCTCTATAACCAATACATAAAATATATGGGCTTACTGTTAATCTTTGATGTAACCAATATTTTGTTTTTTAAATTAATAAAACTTATATAAAGATCATTTTTTTGTTCCTTATATTTATCCATTTATTATCTTAATACAAAAGACTTGTTTAGAAAATATTAGGAATGACCTTTCTTTATTAGATTTAAACGAGAATTTGACCTTTAATAGGACACATGGAGAAAAAGGATTCATGTAGCCGACCCCACGTAGTGGGATAAAGGCTTGATGTTGTTGTTATTGTTGTTGTTGTATCTTAATACAAAAATAACTTTTATAGAAGATCTTCCCGGCTTGAATTCAAATTGTTTATCCGAAATTGATGTAATTTTTTCTTAGCCGTTATTCATTACTCTTTCCTATAGCTTCATTATATGATTCATAAGCTTAATCCCATTATAATTGGTATGATTTTTAACATCAGCATTGCTATTAAATGCTTCTTCGGTTCTTTAACATCTTAATATCAAAGTTTGTTTGAAAAGATGTATTATCTAATTCACTGCAATATTCTTCACAACTTTCAAAATCTTAATATAATATAAATTTTATCGAAAATTAAAATCTTAACCTTTACTCTTAACCAAATTGAATTTCATAAACTAATGTAAAAGGGGGTTTGAAGAAGCTATCCGTTTTTTTTTTTTCTCTTTGATGACTGATTAAGGCTTCATTTGGGGTAGTTTTTTTTCAGCTTCTTAAAGCAGTTTTTTTGTATAAAAATTTTATTTTTGTACTAAAAAGATGTTTTAAGAAACAGTAAGAAAGCCGTCTCACACGAAGCCTAAATCATTGCTTGGTAAGTCTTTATCTAACTTTTCAGCACAATATTGTTCTTTTCCTACATCCAAAAGCTGCATGATTTCCATATAAAACTTTGAATTTATGAAAATTTAAAGCCTTTTTAACCCAGCTCATTGACTACCACAGCTCAAAATTCTAGTCTAATCAGTATAATCCCTCTTATCTGTAGAGCTGACAAGGGAGAAACTGTGAAGGCATCATATATTCATTTCCTGGATCCTCTGAACCGATCAGCAGTTGCTGCTGAAATGATTCACAGATTAAAAACATCAGAGAATAGCTTTACAATTGGAACATCTCATGCTTTAGATCCCCTCACTCTTGTCAAAGCCAGGCTCAGCAATAATGGGAAGCTTGCAGTTCTTTGTCAACATGAATGGAGGCCCAAATCTCTGCTAACTCTTTCAGCTGAGTATGATCCTAAGGCTATAATTTCACCTTCCAGGTTAGGTCTTGCCTTGGCTCTTAAGCCCTGAATCCATCAGCTTCATTTCTTTTATGAAAACCAATTAAGTATTTCAGTTGCATTATTGAGATTCCTGACTCAATTTTGTTAAAAAAAAATCATGTATTTTATCAGAGAGTAGAACTGAAAAATCAGCAAAATTTTAAAAAGCAGAACTGAAATCAGTTTATTTATGTTTTGTTTTCCTGGTTCTGCTGAGGAAATTATAAATTTATTTTATGATGGGTACATTTAAAATAATGAATTATAAACCTGTTATTTGAGTTGATTTGTATATACTCTGATTTTTTTTTTTAAATTTCTTTGTTTCTATTGTTTTTTTCTATGTTATTGATTGTGTTCATCATAACCAGCAGCATTATTCAAGTCTTTTGTATATTGTTTTACTATTTTGTTTGTGACATCAAAGCCTATAATGGTGCTTTTGAAGTTCAAAATTTAAAACTAATGTTGCTTTGTATGGCTTCATTTTGATGGTTTTTTTGTACTTCTTAAAGTAATTATTTAGTGAAAGTTTTTTAATTAAAATTTTTTATATTAATAAATTACTTTCAAAAGCTGTAAGCAGTAAGAAAAATGTCTCAAATGAAGCCTACATTTATGCTCAAAAGACTTCGTTTGGGGTTGCTTTATTGTTGCTTCTTAAAACAACTTTTTAGTATAAAAATTTTAATTTTTATACTAAAAAGTTGTTTTAAGCAGTAAGAAAGTCGTCCCGAATGAAGCCTAAATATCATCGAGTATCTTTTTAATCTATTTATATTCAAGAATTAAAAAAAAATTCTATTTATATTCAAGAAAATTTCATTCAACATTTGAGCACTAATAAAGAAAATCATTTTTGTAATAAAGGCAAAAAGTCTTAGGCTTCGTTTGGAAAGGCTTTCTTCTTGCTTTTTAATATAATTTTTTTTTTAATTTAAAATTTTTGTATTGAAAAATCGTTTTAAAAAGTAGTATGAAAGCTGTCCCAAACGAAGTCTTAATGACCTTAATAACACTGTTTTCTTTACGCAGCACCATTAATTTTTTATTTAAGATTTTATTTGGGATGATTTTTGTTATTATTTTTTTAAGTAAATTTTTAATAGAATTTTTTTTTGAATTAAAAATATTTTATTAAAAAATTGTTTTAGAAGCAATAAAGAAACGGTCCCAAATAAAACTTAAATTTGTTTAATGTAAGCCAAGTGCTGAACCTTGCAAATAAAAGAAATCCTCTCCAAGCTTTGATTAGCGTGATTTTTAAAGCTAGAAAATTTATATTGTTTTTATTTTATAGTAGATTTAACAAATTTAGGTCATCCTATCTAAATTTTTGCTAGAAAATTCTAATCATTTTATTTTTCCTGTTAAAAAGAGAGAACGTATAATTTGATTATTATTTAGCCTATTAATATTATTGACAGTAAAATTTTAATTTTAATATCAAAATATAGTTTATTTTTAAATAGATGAATAAAATGATTAGCTATATCATAGTGATTGATATATCATCAAAAATTAATCTTGATCAAGCATGAATCTCGAGGCAAATTTGAGTTGAAATTTTTCAAAAATAAATTTGGGGCATCCCAACTCTAATTCAGCAACTTTATAGTCAAAATGAACATCTCGAAAAGAAGAATCCAATGAGCTTAAATGGGTTGAAATCGAAGATCCGAAGTGCATTTGAAAGGTTTTAAATTTCAATTGGATAATCAAACAATTTCCAAACGTGATGTAGTTATAGTTGAATTGAGCGGCTCGACGAGACGAATCCAATGAGTCCAAGATAGTTGAATTCTGATATCATTAAGACACTCAAATATTTGATAAATAGCTCATGATCATATGAATTGATATCGGCCGTCCATTCAAAACACTTCTAACAAGGGGAATTTATTGGGTTCGGACACCGGACGCCGTCCAGATCCCAATGAAAATGCGCCACATCATCCACTACTCGATACTGAGCTTAATATTACTCGGTACCGGATAATGTGCCTGCATATGATTGGTCTCCGAATGGTAAGCTGTGTCCGGTGTCTGAACCCAATAATTTTTCCCTAATAAGCCCTTGATCTTCTTCTTATTTAATGTTTATGTTACATTCAAAAAATTATAAATAGACCTCTCAATTCATTGAGGGAGGAGCAAGGATGAAAAAAGAAGAGAGTAAATAAGAACTCAGAGTTGTCTTGCCACTAGACTCCTCGACCACCACCCTGCCACCTACCGGCGCTATCTACCATTGCTTGACTTTCTCTGGACAAATTAAATTTAAATTAATTTGTTAAACTATGAATATTATTTATTATTTAATATATTGAATACTTTATTAATTATTTAATTAATTAAACAATTGAACGGGCTGGCTAAAAAAAAATCGAAACCGATTTGTTGGTTGAACCGGTGGTATGATACAGAAGTGATGACTGGCCCACAGCTTCCGAGCGCCTAAGCCCGACACACTCCTCTCAGTATCACTTGGTTGCTCCTCCGCCACGCCGCGCTCTCTTCCTCCTTCCTCACCTCTACAGCTTTCAATCTGTTCAACTGTGCTGAACCATTTAAGAGAGAGGGAGAGAGATGGACGCACTGATCAGATTTGCTCATTCAGCTTCTCTCCCTTACATGCCACCAACTTGCCAAAGGCCAACCTTTCCTCTCTCAAGGATGCCATTTTCGATTCCTTCTCTACCTCGCTGTAAACTTCCTTCTGCTGCTTCTTCTTCTCCTCCTTCCTTCTTCGGTGGGAAAGGAAAGCGTTTTTTAGAATCCGAAGTTGGAAGAGAGAGAATGATGAAGTGGGAAGAGAAGAGAAAGGGGGAGAAAGCAAAGAGGAGAGAGATAATCTTGCACTCCATTGCACCTCATACTCTTTTATTCTTTGCAGCGCTTCCTGGAAGTGAGTACTGATTTCCATCCGAACTGTCTCAAATCTCAAAGCTTTTCTTAGAAAATTTTTTGAAGGAATTGCTTACAGCTAGCTCTTGCATGATTTGGTCAGAACTATTTGATATAAGCATGAACTTCTGCAATTTTTTTCATTCTTCATTGCATTTTAAGCGTCTGAAGGTTCGTCGGTTTGCGGGATTCGTGACGGAAGTTCGTGCAGCATCTCCTAGGGTAGGAAATCGATGGGAGCGGAGGAGTTCGAAGGAGAAGACGAAAGCTCGCTAGGGTGGGAATTGATGCACTGAAGGTGTTCGAAGGAGAATAGGAGTTTATGCAGAGATCGCTAGGGTAGGAATCTATGGTACTGACGGCATTCGAAGGAAAAAACGAATTTTTGCGTGTTTCGCTAGGGTAGCAATCAAGAGCACCGACGAGTTTCGGAGGAGAAGAGGTTTTCGTGCGCAGCTTGCTAAGGATCGAATTAGTCCCCTATTTTTTTCTTTTTTCGAAGTTGTCTTCCACTATATAAAAATACTAATTTGATCTCTTAATCCTTAAATAGGGATCAAATTAGTACTTCTGTGAGATTATTTAAGTACTCATTCAAAAAGTCAAAGTCAAAGTATTAAAATGAGGCTTGGAAACTATTTTAATACATCCTATATGGTCAAGGGGTATATTTTGATACTTATAACTGATATACAATTGAGCAGTCATTTATCTCATTTGGCAGAGGTCATTTCATGAGAAATGAACAATAAAATAAACATAAACAGTAGAGGTGTTTGATCAATTGCATGCATGTGTCAAAATTTGACCCGACTCGAAACCCGTCCTGGGATCGATCCAGAAAATTCAGGGTTCGGGTCAACCCGTTTGTCATACAGGTAGGATTCGGGTTCGAGTTTTTGACTCGTTTGTAAAACCGGGTAGGGTTCGGGTTGACCATAAAACTTGAAATCAACGCGGGTTGACCTGGGAACATGGTTGCCTTGTGCGTGACCTCATCTCGTCTGCCACTCCGCTAGTCCACATTCGCGTGCCACCGTGTCACATCAGTGCCTCTCGTGAGACCCAAGTCCTAGCCTAGACTTCTAGACCGCCAGACGCCAGTCGGTCAGACCCGCAGGACGTACAACTGGTTGATGTCGACCCCGCTCTAGTAGGCCCCATCGCCGCTCCCGCACGAGGTGCGATTGGTTGACCTCGTCTCTTCTGCACTCGTCGTGCCGCCGTCGCTGTGCGGGCTCGCCTGCCACCATCAATAAATTTATGGGATTTGGCTGAATAAACACATGAATGAAAGAAAGCTCCCGTCGTTGATTTCATCGAGTCATTGATTACGAGTCAGATCGGGTTGACCCGTACCCAAACCTGGTGGGTTTCGGGTCGGGTCAAAATCTATCAGGTCAAAGTCGGGTTGGACCCGAACCTGACCTGTGGACATGATTTGACACCCCTAGGACATATCATATCAAACTTCTCTAATAGAATGATATTAAGAAAATAATCAAAATGGTCTCTTAACTCTTTATGAATGATCAAAATGATCAACAATTATATTAAATTATAATTTTGATCCCTCAAATTTTTAAAAATGAATCAAAATTGTAGGATTATTTTGGTTTCACCTCAAAGAGTTGAGGGACCAAAATAACACTTTTAATATAGTTGGAATCATTTTGGTCTTTCATAATAAGTCAATGGACTATTTTGATCATTTTCTCGAATGATATTCAATTAATAGGATGATGGATTTTTGAATGATGCTTTTACTTTCAGTAAAAGTAAAGTATTGCAAATAAAATAGTGGAAAAAAAATTCAGTGCAGCTCAAATAAACGCAAACTAATTTAGTCAGAAGTGAGTTATTTGCAAAATAAATAGCTATCGCTGCAGCTCAGTTTAGTATGTCTAACTTTTGGAGCAGAGACAATACTTTCGAGTGCTTTCAGCATACAGAACAATCCCTTCCGGCATCTCCAACCGAAAAACCCATTTTCTACTTCAAAATACAGTCATTTTTTTCCAATTGAACGCCATTTCTTCTTCTTTCGCGCGCTTCATGGGAAAGTAACCATCTTTGGTGCGCTTTTCTCCTCTTTCGCGCACTTCTTCGACAAATCCCGCAGCTAATTTTTTTGGCATAGATGAGCAGCCCGACGTCAATATTGGCATCCCACTGTTCACCTACCGGAATTTGGCGTGCAATTTATAGTTCAAATGGAGCAAATGACGGATGGCATGTGGTGGTATGTAGTTCGGTTGAAGATGGTCTTAAAGCCAAGTTGTGTGGATTTGGGGCTTGATTTTGCTCATAGAATTTGTCTTGTTGAGCCTTTTGTTTTGGTTATCTTTGTGATTTTTGTTGTGCTTAAACTGTACATGACTGCAATTGAATGCCCAATGAACCGAGTGATTTTATATATATTTACATGTATCATCTTGCTTGGCTTTATATATTCTTACCCTTCATTCTCGTGGATTGTTCAGATAGCTCTCGTCTATAACTAAAACTTCTGTAGATCATCTCTGTGCAATAAAACTGATGATTCCATGACAGCTGAAACTGTAAGATCTGTCTTTGGACCCTTCGTTGAGCTTGTGAAGACATGGAATCTGCCAGGATGGCTTGTTCACTGGGGTCATCCAGGGAATATGGTGAGTACAGAATTTCATTTTCTTTCACGATGTGTTCTTGCATTTGCAATTTATGTGATCCGAGAGTACAGCCATGTAAATGGAATTGGGGGTGGTTTGTATCATTGATGTAAGCTTTGTAATGTCATCTTATTAGAAGATGCCAGCTTTTTGGTATGCTGACATCTCCAAATAACATTTTCTTCAATAACATAAATGGCTATTAAAAACTAAGCATACTACAGTTAACACCTATTGTTACCCACCGATGTTTAGTTTGGTTGGTGGGCAAGCACGGTTGGGTACCCTCCATCCCGTGTTCGATTCCCTCGGGCGGCAGCGCCCCTTTTGGGGGACCCAATAAGCATTGGTCACGAGTTCTAATGGGTGTGGGTAGCTCGTCTAGGCTTACCAGAGTTTACGTATCGCCAAGCGCTCTCGGCTAGCCCGAGGGTGGCAGCGGACGGCTCCTCGTCACCAAAAGAAAAAATTGTTATCTACAACTTTAGCTTAGTTTGGGACGACTTTCTTACTGCTTCATAAAGCAGCTTTCATTGTGCAAAGAAACTGCTTTAAGAAGCAGAAAGAAAATTATCATAAACGAAGCCTTTGTTTAAGACAACTGTCTTACTTCTATGCTTTTTAGACCTCAATTATAAGTTTTGTTTGACCATTGCTTTTTAACTGCTTTGAAGAAATATTTGTACTAGAAAACTACTATTTGTAATAATTTTAAAAAGTTACTTTCTCCTAGCATAAATAAATGACCTGTTGATAAACATATAAGACCACATGACTAAATCACGTAATATAGGACATTATTGAATTTATTCTCATAATTAGCATAATTGTTTCACTTATTTTTTGTCTTGCAGGCTGTTGTACTCTTTGCAATGGGGGGTTATGGATCTTATCTGGGATTTCGAATAAGATTGTCAAAAAATGCAGTGAGTGCATTTTCTTAGTGATTTCCATGTATTAATTGTGAACTTCTAGGATAATAATCTACACAGTTGTTTGATTATGAATGCGCTTTTTGATTTTGGAACTTCTTTCTTATTGTTTTCTAAAGCAGTTTTTCATCACAAAATTTTCAGCTCAAAAACCGTTTACTAAAAAGCTGTTTTAAAAAATAGTAAGAAAGTCGTCCCAAACGAAACCTTAACGTTAATGCTTTTATTTTTGTTTGTGAAGGAGGAGAAGGCCATGGCAAAGAACCTCCATCCAAAGTTACTAATTGGAATGTTCTTTTTCTTTGCTCTTGGGTCTACTGGAGGTATAACAGCCTTGCTGACTTCAGATAAACCTATACTAGAAAGGTAGCTGGTTAAAACTAGACAAAGCTATTTTATTTATAGTGGTCTGTGCTGTTTCTTCGGATCAATCTACTGTTTTATCTACATTTTTGACTGCTGGAAGGCCTGATTCGAAACATTTGGCTAACCCGATTCGATCGAATGCAGTCCTCATGCTGTTTCAGGCTTGATGGGGCTTTCTTTGCTGACAATTCAAACAATTTTGCCTGCTCTTTTTGAGGTAAATATCTATCTTTTTGTTTGTTTAATTATGTTATTGCTTGCAGTTAAGTCAATGGGTTATCATCATCAGTAGCTCTATTTGAAGTATTTGGTATAAGTTTTTTATGATCCCTTAGGTTTAGGCTTCATTTGAGATAGCTTTCTTACTGCTTTCAAAAACAACTTTTTAACACAAAGATTTCTACTTTAAGAAATTTGTGTACTAAAAAACTGTTTTAGAAAGCATTAAAAAAGCCGTTCCAAACGAAGCCTTGGGGCGGCTTTATTACTGCTTCTTAAAGCAGTATTTTATAATAAAAATTAAATTTTTTGTACTTGAAAGCTGTGTTATGAAGCAGTAAGAAAGCCGTCCCAAATGAAGCCTTAGTTTGGGATAGCTTTCTGCCTTTCTTACTGATTTTTAAAGCAGTTTTTTTATTATAGTTTTTTATTTTAGATTGAAAATTTTGGTGTTATGAATGTTAATTGTTGTGCAATGTAGGATTATCCAGGGTTGAGGACTGTGCATGGGCTTCTTGGTAGCAGCATCATGACACTTTTTCTTATCCATGCAGCTCTTGGACTGCAGCTGGGGCTTAGTTTTTGATCTATGTAATTCTAATATCATCCAACGGTCATAATTTTCAGCTATATTTTTTGCGTTTTAGAAAGTCAAATAGCAGCTTATTATGAGTCAAATATAGGCTTTTTTGTTCGGAATAATTTTCTTACTATTTTATTTTTTAAGGCTTTATTTCAGGTCACTTTCTTAATATTCTTTGAAGCGGTTTTTAGTATAAAAAGTTTTAGTTCAACATTTTTTTGAACTAAAAATTTGCTTTAGAAATTAATAAAAAAGTTATCACAAACAAAACTTAACAGCTTTTTAGCTGCTTTCTAAAACAGCTTTTAAGTATTAAAATTTCATAAAATAAAAAAATTTTAATAGAAAACTGTTTAAAAAGTAGCAAAAAAAGCTGTCCTAAATGAAAACTAAGGCTTCGTTTTGATGACTTTTTTATTGCTTTTTAAAACTCCGTTTTAGTACAATTTTTTTTATTTTTTACTAAAACTCCATTTTAAAAATCAATAAAAAAGCCGTCCCAAACGAAGCCTAAATCGTGGACATAATTTTAATTTAGCCACTATTTTTTTATTACTTTTAATAAAAATTTATATAAAAAACTGCTTTACAGCAGCTTTTAAAAAAGCTTTTTTCTGGGGTGTATGTAGATAAACAATTAGTGCATTGTAGATATTACGCAGGCCGAATATAATATACAAATTAGCAGTCGTAAGTACGTTATCCTGTCATAATAATTTCACCTAAAATAGCTGATTATGATCAGATATCTCCATTAGGGGAATAAAAAAGTCAACCAAAATGCTCGACGACACAATTAATTAAATGAGCCGATTTGGCCACCTCATAGGAACAATTATTACGTCTTCCGACCGGACGTTTCTCCCGGTCGGAAGCAAATTCCTGTCAAAAATGAGTTGTACCGAGCAAATACCGCGCAATACCAAACAATAACGAAGAATACCATCATTTGAAGACCCAATACCGAGTTATACCGCCGGGCTTTGCCGAGCAAATACCGAGTTATACCGGGCTTTGCCGAGCAAATATCGAGTTATACCAAAGTTGTACTGAGTTTTTCACAGAAAAACTCGGTACAACTCGGTATTTCTCGATACAGTTCGGTATAACTCGGTATTGGTCTTCATAGAACAGTATTCTTCATTATTATCAAATAATATCTAGTTGTACCGAGCAAATATTTAGTTTTTGGACGGAAAATTGCCTCCGACCGGACGTTCCTCTACGTCCTTGCACCGAACGTAATAAAAGTTCACCTCATAGAGCGATGGAGAAAGGAAATTATATTTTTATGATTTTTTAAATGTTAACGGTTAATAATTTTAAATTTTTTATTAATTTCTAAATAAGCATTTTAATATAAAATTTTTTATAAATTAAATTTTTTATACTAAAAAATAATTTTAAAAAGTATTAAAAAAATAATCTTAAACGAAACCTAAGTGTAAAAATGAGTTAGCTCTTTTTTAAGTGTTGCTTAAAATTGCTAATCTCAAAGCACCAATGTCTATTTATCAATAGAGATTTTTTTTTAATAAGGAAAATTTTGTTGTATACCAAAATATTTGTAGATATAAAGAGTTTAATGTCTTAATTTTATAAGAAGATCAAAGGCATGGATATAAATAAGCAGAAAGCTGCAAAAGACAACTAAATTTCAATTTGATGATAAATTTAAAAAAATAGATGATTTTTAATTCAAATATGCATCGAGATTCGTATCAATCAAATTAATTTTGTATCATCAATATTATCAAAATAAATTAATAATTATGAACTTCATTTTGATTAACTAATATCCTAACTCATATTTCTCCAAAAGAAAAAAAAAAAAAAAAAGCAACTTCTGGCAGACAAATTTATTCATGAATAAAATACATTGCAATTTCGCATCTTGCTGCTGATGTAAACTAAATCTTATTCAGAATCTATAATAAGAAACTAAAAATTAAAGCAAGAGTTACTTGAAAAAAAGGCTTATTTACCACCCAGCCTTTGCCTGATAATGAATACTCTTCCCAGTTCTGAAAAGATTTGATCACCAAGCAGCTTAGTATTCCAGATTCTTTGTATTTTAGTTGTGAGAACAAGTAAAAAAGGATCTTGGTTTAAGCCACTGGAAGCAAAAAAGAGTACAAGGATATCTCAGGAACCAAGCAGCTTCTTCCATCTAGCATAAGCCAGCACAAGCAAGAAGATGAGGAAAGAGCCTGCTGATGTTCCTGCTACAAAGGGTGTGAAGATGTGTGGGACTTGAAACAAATCACATGGAATGTTCATCGCAAAAAGCCCAGCTACTAATGTGTTTATTGCGATCGCAAACGATGCGATGCCCAGTACCAGCTGGAGCTGAATCAGTTCATTTCGATGACTGTCGAGTTGAATGTTCACATAGTCTTCTGTGTCATCGATGTATTCCCTAACCTGTATGGACGAAGAAAAGTGGAGGGTTGCGTTAGGTAATCAACAGCCAGCGTAAAGCTTGTCAAATAATCATGACATGAATCCTTTAATGACGAAAAAGGATTCATGTAGCCGATCCCACTATTAACGAAAAAGGATTCATGTAGCCGATCCCACGTAGTGGGACAAAGGCTTGATGTTGTTGTTGTATAACACAAATTTAGACTCCACATGAATGGGAATGAAGGTATTAAATTCAAGCCATTGGTGGATTGATTATAAATCCATATGAACCTATTGCTCTTTTTTCTTTATAATCCTAAGCCCTAACGATCAGGATCTAGGAATGGACAACAAGCAGTAGGGAAGAATAACTTAGGAAGCAATAAATAGAGCGAAATGTTTATTAACAAATGGATAATGCTGCTATAAACTATTCTTTACAAGAAAAACCATCTTTTTTTTTATTTTCTAAATAATGTCAAATAAATCATTATCATATACTATAACAAAATAAGAAAATGTGATAATTAAAAAAAGTATGATATATTCTGCACTTTAGGAAAAACATACCGAAAGTATTTTATTTCGGGTCCCCTCCAATTGCATGAAATAAGCCTCCAACAACATTTCCAAATCCTCCACATTATTATCATCTGAAGGGAAACTAGCAAAGCTTGCACTGCCTCTAACATTAGAATTTAGCCTTGTAAGGTTTGGTGCAAGAACTATGCTGTTTGAAGTTGCAGAAGCCATCAAAGCTTCAAATTGTTGGTTCTGGATCTGCTTTCTTGTCAAATACAATTGCGCCATATCTTCATTATCATCCAAGAGGTGCTCAATTTCATCCCTAACCTAGAAGAGGAAGTACTTGGTAAGCACAATTTAGTTTTGGAGATTTGGAATTGCCAAAACTGAAACTGTTATGTGACAAAAATTACAAGAAGGTTAATACCACTCATGTCCGTGAATTTGAACTGCCCTTTCTATAGGTCCGTGAATTTAAAACCCGCCATTAGTCCCATTTCTAATTTACAAATTGGTCGACCGCAAGGAGGTCATCAGAGGAGTGCATGAAAGAAGTGAAGAGGCATATGAAGCTACAAGTGAGGTTCCGTAAGTCATTGGAAAGAAGAGAGGGAGATATACGACAAGAAATAGAGAGAAGGTGACATTGGTGTGGTTAATCCTAAAGAATCCATGAGACAATAGAAGAAATTTTAGAGTATTTTTCTTATTTTTTTGTCAATTAACCATTTTATTAATGAAATGTTCATGAAAGATTCTTGTATGTGAGGGAACAAAATGAAAAAAAAAAAAATTTAAAACTATAAACCTATGTAAAGCATAATGTAAATCACAAAGACCTAAGTGTTATTTAACTATTATAATACTCTAGGCGAAACCAACCCCTTTTCTCAAGATAGGCAAACTTTTAATTAATTAAATAATAAGATAATGAAATAATAAAAGTGATATTAAATGAATAAAAGACATAAAATCAGTGTTGCTAGAGAAAAAAAAAAACACAGAAAATTAATAAGATAATACCACCAAATTTATATAAAAAATATAAATAGAAAAGAATGTAAAAGTTATGAGCATTTATTTTAATTGATTAACAAATCCATTGAGAGTAAGTTGTTATGTTGGATATTTTTTGTGAGAATTGAGCAATGTTATAAATGGAGATTGGGCAAACACCTAAAATTTAGCATATTTTAAAAGGATTTTTTTTTTGGAGGGTTGGCACTTGCCCACTCTGAATCCAACATAATTCCACCCCTGATAAAACCATATAATTGAGATTCCACACCACTAGTTTCACTTACTCCAGACTTTAAATTTGACAAAAATCCAATTTAAAAATCATATATACCACAAAAAAGAATCAGGAAGAAAGCCATACCTTTTGAACACGAGCAAGAATGCGAGTTAGGTTGCTTTTTAAGCTGCGAACGCGTTCCAAGTTCTTGGTGCTGACATTCATAGCCAAGTCATCCAATACAGGATATGCATTTCTTTCTAGATCAGACACACTTGAATCTAGATAGGTGCATACAAATTCCAACGCAACCTCTAGCACCTGAAACTCAAATGGAAGCTCCTCTTCATCTTCACCTTTCTCATTGTGCAGCCATTGTCCTTCAGTTGATAACATTTTTTTACCCTGAACATCATCATGGACATGCCCGTGAACTTTTGATGGAGAGTTCAGACGAATTTGTTGTCTCAGATGTTCCACAAAAGGGAGAACTTCCTGACACAGGGGATCCAAGAGCAGCACTTCTTCAGCAGTCACAATAGCCTTTATGAACTCCAGATTAATAACAATAGCCTTCTCCCTAGCTGAAATGTCAAAAAATAGTTACCCAGCAGAAATTCAAGAAAATAATAGAAATAGCAGATAAGCCATGAGCTGAATGAATGGTATTTTAAACATAATAATTAGCCAAAAATATTTTCAAGCTTGCCACTGTTACGTTTAGAAGCACTTCAGTTAAGAATAATTCACTGAAGCAACCGCATATCATAAGACATACAAGAATAATTCACTGAAGCAACCGCAAATCATAAGACATACAAGTTGATGTTTGTTGTCATTGATGATTGTTCAATTAGCAAAGCAAAACTCAACAATATCTCACTAAGCTAACTATGTGGGGATTGGAGGATTATGTGGGTGTTGGTATGCGTTAGGTTTTCAGCAGAAATCCAATTAATGTATAGGATGGCTTGGAAGTTTAGCTCTTCTGGGTTGGTCTATTGGATGCATGAACATTGCAAGAATCATGTATTTTCTCACTCTATGAATAAAGTAATAGACAGTAATATTGGAGATTTTGGAAGCCCCCTTGTTAGGTTATTTAAAAAATATTTAACTTTAGAAATACTTGAGGAAGGTTAAAAGTCAAAGAAGAGGTATTTATTTTATTAAGATATTAGTCATTGCACACCAGCTTTATTCTGACTCTAGCTTTTGAAACAATCAAGGTTGCAAATCTCTAGAAAATGCGGCTGACTTGGGAATTTGGATCATCTTGGTTGGTTTATATGGTGGATGAACGATATCAAGCATTTTATTTCCCTCAATGCATAAAGTTTAAAAAGTAGACATTGGAGATTTTAAACCTCCCAGGGTATTTAAAAAAAAAAGCTGATATTAATATATATTCAAGGATTAATGGTATTATAATGAGGTTATTCTTTTAAAATATGAATCACTAGTGATCACCTTTTTCAAAAACTACTTTTTGAAATCAAGAGAATGAGCAAATTATTACGTCCGGTCACCAGACCTAGAAATAGGTCCGGATATCCTCTAAAAATTTGACGCGTGGAATGTACACGTGTCCGCGGAATTTTAAGTCACTCAACCAAAAGCGCAGGTAAAGCGCAGTGAAAACGCAGGTAAAGCGTAGTCAAAGCGCACCAAAAGTGCAATCAAAGGGCACAATTAAAGCGCGGTCCACGTGGCAACTTTTTAGTGGATGTCCGGACCTATTTTCTAGGTCCGGCGACCGGACGTAATAATTTGCCCCAGAACTGAGCTTTGTTAACTTGGTTGCCAAACTCTACAGGTAGATCTAGAACGTGCACCAAAATTAAGGTAACCTAAACCAAATTAAGGTTAAGAGAAATAAGAACCATTAAGACTAAGCCTACTTGTAGGTTCACCAACATGGCCAAGACCAAGCCTACATAACTAGATCAAGTAATGAGAAAATTGCACATGAGCTCAACCCATCTACTCTGCCCAATATTCTCCAAACACTCAAGTTACCATATCTACCACCATCTTAAGTGAAACTCCCATTAATCTCTTTGTGCCAAATTTGGCTAATTTGCCTGAAAAACTTCCATTTATTAGAGAAGCAATGGCATCGTGCTCACTAATCATCTTATAATCGAAACCCCAATGACTCCCACAAAAAAACATAAACTTTCTTAATTTTCTCTACCCTCCTCCAATATTAATCTTGCTCTTCCTAATTCATTGGGTCCTCTCATCAGGTCGATGACTTCAAAAGTCCAAACACTAATAAGTTGGCCAAGATGAGCTTCACAGTTATCCCCTCTTATAGCAATATTCATAAGCTCAGGAAGAGTCCTCTAGGTAAGATGCAAAGAATTCCTATAAAACTGCCTCTCAGAGTTTGTTTGATGCTTCCTCTGATTAAACTTATGTTGTTAACCACTCCAAATATTCTAATGAACAGTCCCATGAGAATTCCAAAGTTGCCCACTATAAGCTTCTTACTCATGAGCTTCCAAGATAATGTGTTTTACTTGAGACAAAGCTCCAATAAGATCATTTTTCGAATCCTATTGTTATTAGCAACTTTTTATTTTTCATAATGAATGATAGGTTCATAATTTCAATACTCATATATATGGTTGTATTCTAATCAAATGGAAAGTTGACTCTATACATTTACAACCCGCATTATTGATAGTTGATTCATTCATTGTTTACTCTTGATCAACAACCTTCAACCTATTATTTTCATGATTCTCTATAGCTCCAATGGTGCTATTGCCAGAACCAAAAAAAAAAAATCTTTCTTCATAATGATAACCCCTTATCGTTTAGATTGTACTTTGTGGCATCTTTGAGTCCTTTTTTGGCCTAATGCCTTGATGCTCCATCAAGTTATTATTTTTCTGTATTCTATTAATCTCTCATTGTGACATCTCTCCTTCCAATTACTATTAGACTTTTGTTACCTCTAAGTTGTGCCCCACTAAGAATTTGTTGTGGACTCTTAATTCCTGGTTCTAATGAATTTTTGTTGTTGCTTGTTGGGTTCTCCAACTAATCACAATAGCATTGCAATGAGTGTTATTGTTAATCACAATGATGAGCATGCTCAAAGACATTTGCTTTTTGTTCTTTTATTCTTTTTATTTCTATGCTGATTCCGCTTGAGTTATATTTCTCTCTTTTGTCTTTGGGAATTCTCTTATATTTCGTAATTTTCTTCCTTAGGCTTACTTGTGCCTCCTTTGGCTGAGCTTCTGCATAGAGCGTCCTAGTGCATTCTTTTTTATTTTAAACTTGTTGGAAGAGATGAGCTTTACAATTATTCTCTCTCATAGAATTATTCATAAGCTCGGGAAGAGTTCCCTAGGTAAGATGCAAAGAATTTCTATAATCTGCCTCTCATAGTTTGTATGATGCTTCCTCATATTAGACTTATGTTGTTAACTACTCCAAATACTCTAATGAACAGTCTCATGAGAATTCCAAAGTTGCCCTCATTAGCTTCCGAGATAATGTGTTTATCATGAGACAAATCTCCAATAAGATCATTTTTCTAATCCTATTGTTATCAGCAACTTTTTATTTTTCATAATGAATGATAGGTTCATAATTACAATACTCATATATATGGTTGTATTATAATCAAGTGGAATGTTGACTCTATAAATTTACAACCCCTCATTATTGATAGTCGATTCATCCATTGTTTACTCTGGATCAACAACCTTCAACTTATTATTTTCATGATTATCTATAGCTCCAATGGTGCTATTGACAAAACAAAAAAAAAAAACAAAAAAAAATATTTCCTCATAATGATAGCCCCTTATTTTTTAGATTGTACTTTGTGGCCTCTTTGAGTCTTTTTTTGGCCTAATGCCTTGATGCACCATCAAGTTATTTATTTTTCTATATTCTATTAATCTCTCATTGCGACACCTCTCCTTCCAATTACTACTAGACTTTTGTTGCCTCTAAGTTGTGCCCCACTAGTGGCTTGTTGTGGACTCCTAACTCCTGTGGATTTTTGTTGTTGCTTGTTGAGTTCTCCAACTAATTACAATAGCATTGCAATGAGTATTATTCTTAATCACAATGATGATCATGCTCAGAGACATTTCCTTGTTGTTCTTTTATTCTTTTGAATTATAAGCTGATTCCTCTCGAGTAATATTTCTCTCTTTTGTCTTTGGGAAGTCTCTTATATTTCATATTTTTATTCCTTAGGCTTACTTGTGCCTCCTTTGGCTGAGCTTCTACATAGAGCGTCCTAGTGCATTCTTTTTTATTTTAAACTTGTTGGACAAGACGAGCTTTACAATTATTCTCTCATAGAATTATTCATAAGCTCGGGAAGAGTCTGCAAGGTAAGATGCAAAGAATTTCTATAAATCTGCCTCTCATAGTTTGTATGATGCTTCGTCTGATTAGACTTATGTTGTTAACTCCTCCAAATAATCTAATAAACAGTCTCATGAGAATTTCAAAGTTGCCCTCATTAGCTTCCGAGATCATGTGTTTAGCATGAGACAAAGCTCCAATAAGATCATTTTTATAATCCAACTTTTTATTTTTCATAATGAATGATAGGTTCATAATTTCAATACTCATATATATGGTTGTATTCTAATCAAGTGGAATGTTGACTCTATAAATTTACAACCCCTCATTATTGATAGTCGATTCATCCCTTGTTTACTCTCGATCAACAACCTTCAACCTATTATTTTCATGATTATCTATAGCTCCAATGGTGCTATTGATAGAACAAAAAAAAATCTTTCCTCATAATGATAGCCCCTTATTTTTTAGATTGTACTTTGTAGCCTCTTTGAATCCTTGTTTTGCCTAATGCCTTGATGCACCATCAAGTTATTTATTTTTCTATATTCTATTAATCTCTCATTGCGAAACCTCTCCTTCCAATTACTACTACACTTTTGTTGCCTCTAAGTTGTGCCCCACTAGGGGCTTGTTGTGGACTCCAAAGTCCTGGTTCTAATGGATTTTTGTTGTTGCTTGTTGGGTTCTCCAACTAATCACAATAACATTGCAATGAGTATTATTGTTAATCACAATGATGAGCATGCTCGGAGACATTTTCTTGTTGTTCTTTTATTCTTTTGATTTCTAAGCAGATTCCTCTTGAGTTATAGTTCTCGCTTTTGTCTTTGGGAAGTCTCTTATATTTCATATTTTTCTTCCTTAGGCTTACTTGTGCCTCCTTTGGCTGAGCTTCTGCATAGTGTCCCAGTGCATTTTTTTTATTTTAAACTTATTGGGCAATGTCATCACCCAAACC